TACAGTTCGAAAACCTTGAGCAGTAAGTGTGCAACTGTAGCTCCATATTCCCCCCATTTGATCAAATTATGACGTTTGAAGACCAGTGTTCATAGAATCAGACAGCTGGAGGAGAACACAAGGACCACCCATTCCAACCCACTACCAGTCCCCATTCAGCCATGGTATCTCATTGGGTGACCTTGGGCAAGTCACACTCTCCGTTTCCAAGAAAGGCAAAAGAGAATCCCTTTTGAAGAATTCTTGACAAGAAAACCCCATGATGCCTTAGGGTTGCCATAAGCCAGAAACAATTTGGCAGTGCACTGCAACAAGATAATAGCTCATTTCTCACTTTGTCCATCAAAAATGATAAACAGACAATCTGCTATAGCCTCTGAACAGCATGGTTTAGTAATTGCAGTTGCTTGGATATGACAAAGCTAGCTCAAAATCCTGTCTCGGCCATGAAGCTCCCCAGGTGGCCATAAACAATTGTGTTATTTGTCAGCCTCACCTTCTTCCTCACAGAGTTATCGTAAGGTTAACATAAACCCTATGTGCTGCTGAGAGCTTCCTTGGAGGAAGGAAATGATACAAGTCTGACAAATAAATAAATTGGCAAGTTGTCAGTCTAAAAAGGGCATGAGGTGAAATCAACTTTTGTTCCATTTATAAGACCAAAAAGCTCCATCTGTTGCTATTATCTGAAGGCATTACTGGCTTCCATGCAAATACCTACTGGTAAGCTTCAAATAAATGTATAATGAAGTATTCGTTTTGTCTTCCCTCCCCACCCCCCAGTCTGATGAAGCCATGGTAAACCAGCTGTGCATATATTACTGGGGTAGCCAGAACAGCCAGTGGTCATGTTTGGTGCAGGATTATGGGAAGTGTAGTTCAAAAAGCCACTTTTCCAGCTCTGCATATTTCTGTCTTGTGCTGTTCTTTCTGCATCTTCATAGCTCCCCACAGTCACAGACAGCTCTCCACTTCATCACAACAACTGCATAGGCTGTGAAAGCTTTCCAATCAGTTCTTTGTGTATGGTTTCTGGTCTCTCATCTGGCCCTCTGCCAGTCTACTTGATGCAATATGTTTATGCCATTCCTGTGAGTTCTCTGCCTCTTGGCCTATATCAGTCCTTCATTTTCCCAGATCTTTTTGCTAGTTGCCTTTTCTCCTCTTGATCCTCTCCTGGATTTGACAGTACCTTTCCCTCTGAAGTCCACCAGATCACAACAATCTTATAGAAAGACATATTTGTGTTGTAACAGACCATTGGATTTATATTATCATAAAGTTGTGCTTTGTTATACATTAGCCACCAGTTCTACTACAACGTCCAATCATGCTGCTGATGATGTATTTATTACCCACCTCTCCTGATGGGTCAAAGCTGCATACAACACATTTAAAAACATATGAACATAAAATACATACAATAAATTATATATAAAAAACTTGCACCAAACACAGATACAGAATTGACATATGGTAGCAATAGAACATACATCAAAACTCGTGATTGAAAGTTGACTGAGTAGGCCTGCTGGAAGGGCTTACTCTTCAATTGTGTTTTAAATTCCTACATCTCATTTAGTTTCCAGCAGGTCATTCCACAGTCATGGGGCAGCCAGTGAAAATGTCTTCATGGTGCTCGTAGCCAGTTGGGTTCAGGCTGGCTGAAGTAAATGCCCCTCCAAAGGACCTAGGTATCCTAAAGGGCAGGAGAAGGCAATCCCGTAGGTAACTAGGATCCAAACCATGTCGGGCTTTAAAGGTCAAAGCCAACACTTTGTACTTTGCCCAGGAACTAATTAGCAGCCAGTGGAGTGGCTTTAATATGGATGTAATATCCTCACTCCTATTTGTTCCTGTGACCAATCTGGCGGCCGTTTTCTCAACTAATTGGAGTTTCTTAGCTTGGTACAGAGGTAACCCAAAGTACAGTGTGTTGCAGAAATCCAACTTTGAGGGTCCAGCGTATACACTACCATCTTTAGGTCCTCAAATTCTAGGAAGGGTCTCAGTTGACATGTCAACCAAACTTGGTAGTAAGCACTCCTGATCGTCACATCTACCTGGGCTGGCATATGGGGGGACGGATCCAGGAGCACTCCCAATCTGCATTTATGACCCTGTCTCCTTCATCTGCAGCAGTTTCTTTAGCAAATTGGCATTTATTTGTGGTTCATATCAGTGGTGGCAGTGTGATAGTGAGTACATTTTGGATTTTACAGAAGTTATCCCAAGTTGTTAAACTTACTTTGAAGACAGGGTTCAGTACTTTGGAAAACTCCTTTCAAGCTCAGACTAACTGCTGGAATTGATTCACTATCTCCAGTCATCTGAGCCAAGAACATGTAAAACAGCTGCTAATAGACTGAGAGTTATCACAAGCTGTCTTTTGTAGAACCTCAATATGTATTCTGACAGTAGTGTTTCCAATGTTGCACTATTAGTTTAGAGCAGGGGACCTCAAACTATGGCCCGAGGGCCAGATACGGCCCTCCAAAGGCATTTACCTGGCCCTCACTCAAGGTCAACCTAAGTCTGATGAAACGACTTGAAAGCACACAACAACAACAACAACAACAACAACAACAGTAACAATCCTATCTCATCAGCCAAAAGTAGGCCCAAACTTCCCATTAAAATACTAATAAATTTATATTTGATAAAATTGTTCTTCATTTTAATTATTGTATTGTTTTTAAGTGTGTTTTTTGCACTACAAATAAGATATGTGCAGTGTGTGTAGGAATGCATTCATGCTTTTTTCAAATTATAATCCAGCCCTCCCAACAGTTTGAGGGATTGTGACCTGGCCCTCTGTTTAAAAAGTTTGAGGACCCCTGGTTTAGAGTATAGTAGAAACCATAATTCCTCCCACAGTTAACCATTGTGCCTTTTGTTTAATTTAATCCTCAACAGCAACATAGTTGTGTGGGACAAAAATAGCAACAATGTAAAAAGAATGGGAACATTATTACAGATATATTTATACATTACTTTAATTCCTCTTGACCCATTTGCCTTCTTGCATTGGCAGCAACTAGACTTCCGCTTTAGCAAATAGTGTGTTCTGGGGACAATTTTCCAAGGCCTGTAGCATCAGAAGACATGGTTCCAGAACCCTTGTGCACCTATTACGATCCTGATAACTCCCCCCCCCCCCCCCCCCCCCCCGCACACACACACACACACACAAAATGCTGTTTGCATTTTAAAACATATTTTACAACTGGGGCTTCAATCTGCACCCTTACAAGAGTCTCTTAAAGTATCTGTTGTGAGCAGGAACAGACAAATAAGATTTGCTTAAAAAAGAAAGGAAGAAGAGGAAGAAAAATGTGCAAGCTAAAAGCTATCAGGCAAGCCTCATACCGATGTGTTTGCCTCTGATCATACAAGGAAGACAACAGCTATCAATTATTCCAAATATTGATGTATTTAATTTATATTCTATGTGGTATGCTATTCTAGTGATCTTTGTATTATTGCAACATTGCTGCAACATTGGGGATCCATATCTAATGTCCACATCAGAAATTCTAAAACCCAATAGGAGAAATATGGTCTAAATGTTTCTCAGTGGAAGAATCAGCTCTAGCTGTGTAATCGTCTGTTTGCAAGGTTGACAAGAAAGAAGGGAAAGTCCTTGGGGCCTGGACCTTTGGAGGACCCCAGCTCTCTGGGCTATTGTCCAGTGGAAGAACAAGCAATACTTCAGGTAATAAATGGTAGTATCTTGACAACCCAGAGAGACAGTTTATAATACCTGTTTCTAAATTTGGCCCAGTCTATATTTCCCTGAGCTGCCATCACAAATCATAAATGTTATTTTTAAGATCTCATGGAACTGGGGTTCCCTCCCTGTGGTATAACTTAACAAATGGCTTCTGGAATTATCTTAGATAGGTGCCTTTTAAAAAAGAAATATAAAAAGCTATAGAGAATAGACATATTGTAGTCATGATAGCTGCGAAAAACCTCCACAGTAATAAAACTTTATTTATATCCCGCTTTTCTCCTTAAACGAGACCCAAAGTGGCTCACAACATTTTAAAAACAATGCAGAGCAAGCATATATAACAATAACCTATAAAACCATGTTTACAATAAGACATAAGTAAGCATATATAAAAACATTTATCAAATGCAGTTATTACAGGAAATTCAACAATTACAGGTGGTAAACTTCGCATGACTCACTAAATGTTAGCCTTCCTGCCATTCCAGCTAAGTAATAATAAAACTTTATTTATAATAATAAAATTTATTTAATAATAATAAAACTTTAGAAACAGTACACCCTAAAAATGCTTCTGAAAAAGAAAAAAGCTGACATTTTCATGCATTTCTTCCAGGCTCATTTGCCTGGCTACTTTTGGAAACTGAATTCAAGACTGAAACTTATATTGGACTACGTCTTTTGAAAACACCATCCCTGCTTTCACGGGGTGGCCTTTGCTGTGATGTTTGGAGGATACAGGAGTTGGAGATGCTAAACCTAAACAGTCTTTTGGTTTGATTCTGCACAGTTCTGATTGGCACTCTAAAATATATATAATAGGACCTTTTTATCAGCAGGGGATATATTGCAGGACTTCAAGTCATGTGAAAAATCGCAATAATAGCATACCCCATTGAGTCACCCAAGAGCAGTGGTTCTCAACCTGTGGGTCCCCAGATGTTTTGGCCTTCAACTCCCAGAAATCCTAACAGCTGGTAAACTGGCTAAGATTTCGTGGAGTTACAGGCTAAAATACCTGGGGGCCCACAGGTTGAGAACCACTGTCCTAGAGACTCTAGGAAATGCCTAGACATGACATATTTTGTCAGATTCAGATAAACAAACCATGGGTACCAGTCCTGCAGATACAGGAATTACAATAAATCAAAACATTTTTTTCTCCCTCTTCCTCACCCACATTCTGTTGTATAAGTTTTAATATATTTCCTGATCAGACTTTTTAGTCAATACATATTCCTTTTTCTTTTTAAATTTCCTACAGGAATCTACATCCTGATTGCTGTTGGGGCAGTGATGATGTTTGTGGGTTTCCTCGGATGCTACGGTGCTATTCAAGAGTCACAGTGCCTTCTGGGAACAGTAAGAACCCCCCCCCCCCTTTTTTTTTTTTTTTCTCTTAAGTGTGTCCTATGATGTTCTGGAGTTTCGCATTATTCTAGTGCAGTGTAAAGGTAAGTATAAATAAAGGTTGAGCATACCTTATCCCAAAATGCTTGAGATCAGAAAGGTTTTGGATTCCAGATTTTTCAGATTTAAGAATATTTTCATACATAGTTGTTGTGTGCCTTCAAGTCATTATGGCAATCCTAAGGTGAACCTATCACAGGGTTTTCTGGGCTAAAAGTGTGTTATTTGCTCAGGGCCACCCAGTGGGGTTTCACAGCCTAGCAGGGATTTGAACCCTGGTCTTCAGTAATAGTAGCCCAACACTCAAACCCCTATGCTGTGCTATCTCTCTATTAGCACATACATCGTGATATAGGGCCTAAATCTAAACATGAAATTAATCTATTTTTGTATACACTTAACATGAAGACAGTTTTATGCAATATGTTTCATAATTTTGAACATGAAACAAAATTTACTCAGAAAGTAAAGGTGTTGTTCTCTTGGCCAGCTTTGGATTTTGGAGCATTTTGAATTTTTGCATTAGGAATACTTAACCTATATCTACCAGTGGAAGCCCAATGCTTGCAGATATAAGGCAAAATGTAACCTATGTGACAGAAAATTCAAAAGGAACTGTCTCAGGAGAGTTGGCATCAGACTTGGTAATGTAAAACAGGGTTATCTGAGGTGTGCAAGATGTCACTGTAAGAAATTTATCTCATTGTCAGTGAAGGCAATAGATAGGTCTTCTCCTGCTCCCCATAGCTGCTAAATGGCCTTGCAGGCAAGAGAGAGGGTAGGCAACCAATGGTCAAGACAGTATCAGCTGTTATAATCTTTGGCTGTCAATGGGAGACTGTTTACTTGGCTGCTTTGTCAACCCCCTCCTGCCTGTTCCTACATGGTGGGAGGAAGGAACTTAGAATGCAGAGGCTTTGATATCAACAGGGGGTCCTGGATCCAAATACCCGTGGATATCAAAGACCCACTGTATAAATTTGCTGGTTTTTTATTTAAAGCATTTATATCCTGCTCTTCAGCCACACAGGCTTTCAGAGCAGCTTTGGCTGTGCATAGCTTAGCTTTCATCTTCTGTGAAGATTGAGTGTCCACTGCAAGTATATGGCTTCATCCCAGCACTGGAAGGTAATGATTTGAATCTAGACTTGCACACACTGAATTGTGCACCTCTACCCTTTCCATTTCATCCTCTCTGCTTCCTTTGATACTCAGTCCCACAATGCACCTCCTCTGTGTCACTTCATTACACTGTTGGGGGGTTATTACTTATGGGGTTATCATCAGCATCAGGGACTGTGTTAGAGAAGGGCAGGAAAACCTCCTTGTGTGACCAGAATTCCCTCACACAATTCTGATTTCAAGCCAATTACCCTCTTTGTCTGGAGAAAATTCAGTGCTGTCCTCATTTAGCATGTCCATTGCTATTTGTGATTTCCAGGTGGAATGTTTTCCTGCACTATTCTAGTTTGATCTTTCAGCCCTTTGTTGTAATGTGAATAGGAACAAACAAGGCAAGATTCCTCTGTTGTGCCCTTTTATTACTTTGGTACTTTTAAAACTAAAAAAGAGAGTGAGAAGCTGAGTTATTGTACTTCTCTATGTTAGCACACTGTCCTAGGAATACACATCTATCATTTTTAAAATGTGCTCTTACTGCACAGTAGCACATGTAGAAAACTTTTTTCTTTTTGTGGTTCTTCAAAGGCTGCTTCTGCTGCATCCTCTGATTTTTGCTATTCAGGATTATAACTGGGAGAATGCATCCCTACCTCTCTTCACATTGTCTCTATGAAAGCCTTGTTCACTGATCTTATTCTTGCCCAGTTAGTTTGTGTGTTGGAGGAGTGGGAAGAAACTTTGTCAGAATTATGTTCAATACATCAGAAAGCCGGTGTGCTACACTGGTGTGAGTATTGGATTAAAGCTCCAAAAGATGAGGACTTATATTCCAGCTGAGGTAAGGAAATCTACAGAGCAAATCATAAGATAGAATAAATAGCTTTATAATTGTGCTATCGCACAACAAAATTGCATACCTTTTCCTCACCCAACACAAAACAACATACCCATCCCTCCACACCCCTACCACCACCACTCAGTCCCCAGTGCCACATCAGTGCCATGGAGTTCAACATAGCCACAGCTCTAGGATAAAAGCTATCCTTCTGTATGTTTGTCCTCACCTTTGTCACCCTATACCATCTGCCAGATAGCAATAACAAAAAAAAAAAAAGAATATCCTGGGTGAGATTGATCTCCAGGAATGCTCTAAGGTTTCTTAAGACAGTGGGACCTATAAGGTTCTTCCAAAGAGAGGAGAGGGCAACCAGTGATTCACCGTGCAGAAGTGGTGACCCTCTGGAGCACCTTCCTATCTGCTACTGTGCAACTAATCATGCACAGATGCAGTAAGTTAGAACACTCTCTTTAGCACAGTGGTAGAAAGTCACCAGCAGTTTTTCATTCATTTGGTGGTCCCTTAGGAGTCTCTGCTGGGTCATCCTAACCAATGCTGCCATATGGGTGCCCCAGGTCAGATCCTCCTTCACAGTGACACCCAGGAATTTAAAACTGGCCACCTGCTCCACTTGGTCGTCATTTAAGATCAAGGACTGAAATTCTGGTCTGTTCTTCCTATAATCCACTATGAGCTCCTTGGTCTTGTTGATGTCAAGAACCAGACTGTCCCTCCATCACGAAAGCAGCCAATCTGCTTTGTCTCAAAAGGCAGACTTATCACCTTCAGAGATAAACTCTACCATGGCTGTATCATCTTCAGATTTGGTAATGATATTGCTATGGTGGACAGGGGTACAGTCATATGTGTACAAAGTGAAAAGCACACAACCCTGTGGCGTCTCAGTGTTGAGAATGAGAGCTGATGAAGTATTGTGATCTAACCTAACGCTTTGGAAACATCCAGACAAGAAGTCCATAATCCAGGAACAGAATGAATATGACAGTCCAAGATCCATGAGTTTAGACACCAGTCTATGTGGAAGGATTGTGTTGAATAAAGAACTAAAGTCTCCAAAAGCATCCTCCTATAGTTCCCCCCTCATTCCAGGTGGGTCAGAGCAGTGTGGTATGATGTCTGTAGCGCCCTCTGTTGATCTGTTGACTCTGTATGCAAACTGATGTTTATCCAGTGCATGTGCAAGGCATTAAATGATATGCCGTCGAGTTTTTCAAGGCACTTAATGATGATGGAAGTGAGTGCCACTGGTCTGTAATCCTGAAAGATTCCTTGTGGAGAACTTCTTTGGTACTGGAGCAATGATGCAGGCCTTCAAACAAAACGGAGTAATAGACTGAGATAAAGACTTGATAAAGATCACAGTAAAAACACCTGTCGGTTGGCACAGCCCTGTAAGCACCCAACTAGAAATGCCATGTGATCCAGCGGCCTTCCTAGGATTCACAGCCCTCAAAACACGTCTTACCTCATGATCTAGGATTGTAGGATCCTAGAGCTGGAAGACATGCCCAAGGGCTATCCAGTCCAACCCCCTGCCATACAGGACACACAGTCAAAACTCTCCTGACAGATGGCCATCCAGCCTCTATTTCAAAACTTCCAAAGAAGGAGACTCCACCACACTTTGAGGCAGGACATTCTACTGCCATACAGCTCTTAATCTCTTTTCCTGTAATACTCTTTCAGCCTGAGAGGAAGGCAATGAAAAACATCATCTGAATAAATCTTGCCACAAATTGGAATCTACCTGAATCCACATAAAAACAACACAGGATGTTTTCTAAGACATCTAAATAAGTATTTTGTTGCACTTTTTGTTGAAACTGAACCATAAACCTTTTTGAAAAAGTGTTTAATTAAGCCAAACAAGTGGTACTGGAAGATCTGTGTTTTTATCTTGGTTTTAATGTTCACATGGTTTTAATTGTGTTTGCTGTTTCAAAAATTTATGTTTTAATGGGTTGTTTAAACTTTTGCATTGTATGTTTTTATTCTGTTGTAACCACCTACTCAGAGAAAGGCGGGATATTTTTATTTTTTATTTATTTATTTATTTAGGCAATTTTTATCCCATCTTTCTCCACTCAAGGGCCCAAGGCAGCTAACAGCATTTATAAAATATGCAGAATACAAACATTAAAACAATACATAATACATAATAAAACCAAATATTCAACAGTGCTGAAAAAATATTAATACCTGTGTATTAACATAAAATTAAAAATCCTAAAGCAAGAGTACCTAAAAGCCATCTGAGTGCCATCATCTATTTCAAATCATCTAAAAGCTTTCTTTAAAAAGAATGTTTTGAGACTTTTTCTGAATCCAAGCAGGGTATGGGTGAATCTAATCTCCCTCGGGAGGGCATTCCACATTAGAGGTACAGCCCCACAAAAGGAGTTTTCCCTCGAAAGCTTAAGGTGTAAACTGAAAGAGGCTGTTGTCGACATAAATAAATGTTATGTTCAGAAAATAAATGACTGAAAGATGTAACGCTGCATACAGCTCTGAATTGAGCCTGTTCAGCCACTCATAATGTTTGCCAGTGTGGTATCTTCTCATGTGCTGGCCTCATTGCAAGATGCCCTTGCTTACCCCCATCTTCCTAGGTGTGAAAGCAAAAAGTCAAACATAAATGGAAGGCTGAGAAATGGGATGCGTCCCTGTTTATTGAGCACTGTAGGGATACATTGCCACATTGATTTGAGGTTTTTCAAAGGCATCATTATTGGCTCAAGAGTACTGCTGGGTCTTGACCTTGTTTCACTGTTCCTTTTTAATAGTGCACTATTTATCATAATGCATCTTTAATGGCACACTTGCACCCAAATCTTTCTTGTTTATCTGATAATGCTGCCAGTATTTCTCATCTGACTTTATTCTGTTCACAGTTTTTCACCTGCCTTGTAATACTGTTTGCTTGTGAAGTGGCTGCTGGAATCTGGGGCTTTGTTAATAAAGATCAGGTAAGGGATTTATTATTATGATTTATAGTGTGCCTTTTGCATGGAACCTTCAGTTTACAATGTACCAGGGGCCCTTATGGTACTTTAAAGGCTAACACATTTATTGTGGCATGGATTTCATAGACCAAAACCTATTCACTTTGTAAATTGACCTTATTTTCACCTCACAAACCCCTGTGTAGGTAGATTAGGGCTGAGTGCCAGACTAAACATTTATAAAAGGCACTGCTGCTGCTGCTTTGTATTCCTTAACTTGTTTTTCCTTGGAATGTCCAATGTCAGCAACTTGATGTTAGACATCATGATGTTAAACTGCTCCCTGCCCTCTGCTGGCCTGTGAAGCAGGGAAAGAGCTGGCAGGTTGATCCCCACATTATTTTTGCTCTGAGTATTTCAAGGACAGAAGAAGAAAAGATAGAAGCTCTTCACCTTTTACATCATATTTTGTCCCATGCAGCTGGTGATAATCCCAGGGCTTTCAAAACAATGTTATAGTTGTGTAGGAATTTCGTCCAGATCTTTGCTTCCAAAACATACAATGATTTTGCCACTCTCAAAGCACATTCAAATGGAACAGAATTTTCCAGTGCAATAGGGTATTGTGTCTCAACTTAGTGATGTTGCGACCTGTTTCCGTGGTGTCTGGGTGATGTTCCTGCTGTTGAACTACCATGAAGCTCATTTTCTCTGTGTGTATGTTTGTATACAGGATTATATATGTGCAAGCACTGAATGAGCCCCTGGTGGCGCAGTGGATTCAAACCTTGTACAGGCAGGACTGTTGACTGTTTGAATCCAGGGAGAGTCGGTTGAGCTCCCTTTATCAGTTCCAGCTCCCCATGTGGAGACATGAGGGAAGCCTCCCACAAGGATGGTAAAACATCAAAAAATCTGGGCATCTCCTGGGCAAAGTCCTTGCAGACGACCAATTCTCTCACACCAAAAGCAACTTGCAGTTTCTCAAATCGCTCCTGACATGAAAAAAAGCATTGAATGTTGCCTTTTATGTTGAACCACCCTGAGTCCCCCTGGGGAGATAGGGTGAAATAGAAAAAAAAATTCTTACTTACAAGTTGCTTTACAGAGTGGCATAATTTGTAACAGACAATTCAATGCCCTGAGAATCTTGCAGCTCAATTTTCAATTATAGGACAAGAGAGCTCAGATATGTGAGAAGTAATAGATGGATGTGAGAAGCTGCATATAGTTCTGATTTGTTTCAGTGACATTTCTGTCATAGTTTAATTAACAGATGATGCATCAGGATCATATCAAGGGTTGGCAACCCTGTCTCTGACTGCAAAATGCTCTAATCTGAAGAGGATAGCTTAGCATGGTTTTAGTACTTGGCATTTAAGAGACACAGCTCCCCCTCCCCTTTTACACCACATGTTCATCTGCTGTGGATCAGATGGTGAACAAAAAATAAAATAAAACACCTTCAACAAAATCAATGCAGCATGTGGAAAGCTCCCATTCAGGCTTCCAGATTGACTCCTCCAGTCTCTTCAACAGACAGTCAATATTTAATATGTTATTAATATGGCATTGGAATGCTTTATTTACTGTTTTAATTCGTAATTTACTATCACATTTCTGGTTTTTCCTATGCCTTAAGATCACAGGACACAGTGCAATCTGCAAAATTAGACAGTATCTGTTTTTTCTTAGATTTGTTTCTTGTTCAGTGCTTCTTGTCCAGTTATTCTATTTCCTCTCCCCATCCATCTTTTCCCAGCTGTACAGGTTTGCCATTCTTCTTGTTGTCCAACAATATTCTTGGCAACTAGGATTATCCCTAGGCTTTTGCAGGGGCTACCTTTCATGCCTTTAGGGTCCTTACAATTTTTCAAACACCTGTAAATCGCAGGGTTATCTCGAGACTGGAACTTTCCTTTGTATTTAGGTAGTGTGGCATAGAAAAATCTGGTATTAAGGGATTCCATCTGAACATTAGGAAGAACTTCCTGACTGTGAGAGCCGTTCAGCAGTGGAACTCTCTGCCCCGGAGTGTGGTGGAGGCTCCTTCTTTGGAAGCTTTTAAGCAGAGGCTGGATGGCCATCTGTCAGGGGTGATTTGAATGCAATATTCCTGCTTCTTGGCAGGGGGTCGGACTGGATGGCCCATGAGGTCTCTTCCAACTCTTTGATTCTATGATTCTAAGGGGATAGTGGTGCTATTGATTGATTATAAGACGTTAGCCAAAACTGAATGCCATATCCTGTCTGAAACAGAACCCTTTATGAATGAACTTGAGAATCTTTTCACAAAATATCTGGGTGATTTTGTTAAAACATGCAGAATTGAGAGGCCCAAAATAATAATTCATAATTGTTGCAGTTGGCTGAGTTAAAGAGAATAGGGGCCTGCTTGTCACCTTGTAACAATGGGAATTTGGTATATATTTTAAAGACTCTGCTTCTGAAATGCTGGTGAGGTTATGCTGTGCGCATAACACGTTTTACATTTTTCATAGTGTACCAAAATATATCTGACCCAAGGTAATAATGGGATTCAGTAAATTGCAGTAAATTACAAGAAGAAAAGATAAGCAATTCAAGGGGTTATTAAATCAGAGAAGGTAAACATCATAGCAATTAATAGTTGGAAGTAAAAGACACAGGTCTTCTTTTTAATTTTTAAAAGCAATTACTACCTTTTGGAAGAATCTGCCAATAACATAGCAGATGTTCTACATCCTTTACAATGTTTGCTTCAAAGACTCTGTGCTGCTTTGTGCAACATGTTTGTAAACCCTTCACAGTTGAATAACGGGAGAGTTGGGCCTCTGCCGGTTAGCAATATCTCTATATAAGGGTTATCGTATCACTTTTTGTTTGTATCATGAAGCCCTTAGAATTTAATCTACTAAACAATTCTATAATTGCACACACTCAACAAAACAGGTGGTGGATTCATCTGTCAGTTGCAAATACTATTGACTCCTTTTCCTGCCCTGACATTTTGAAGTAGTTTCTTGGAACTGTAGCCAATTCTTAATTCTTAAGATTACAGTGAGTGTTCATTTTTTGAAAAGCCCCAGTTGCCTCTAGTTGGTCTGTCTTGTTGTTCTCCTTAAAAATCTATACACTTGGTCTTTTTTCATCCCCTCCTGCTCTACTTAAAGTTTACTCTGCCACTGTAAGGAGGTGACCATAACAGTGTTGTTTCAACAGGGGCATATCCTAAAAGCACCAGATCCTGTTTGATCCTAGAAGCTAAGCAGAGTCAGTCCTAAGAGTATTGTATGGGAAGCGGCCAATGAATTCCAAGTGCTGCTGGCTATGTTTTAAAGTAGGGATGTCAGCCCCATTTTCACCAAGAGCCACATCAGCTTTATGGTTGCCTTCAAAGGGTCGTTTGTAACCATAAGACTGTATAAACATAATTATGTTGGCCTGGCATTGAAAACCTCATGGGCCATATAAGATAGCATGGTGGGCTGGATTTGGACAATGGGCCTTTGGGTTGTGTTTTAAATGAAGGTACTCGCAAAACCACCTCTGAGCATTCCTATGAAATTCATGGGGTTGCCATAAGTCAACAGGTGACTTTAGTACATGTGTTTGCATACACATGCTGTTGATTCTGAACAACTCCCATTCATCTTCAGCAGCAGCCATATTTTCTGAAGTATTCTCAGAGTTATAGTCTGAAAAAGTAACATTCCCCAAGCTCTAGCTTTTACCTTTCCTAATGGTTATTTATTCTTCCCACCACTGGGAGTATAACTTTGGATAGTTGAGATACATTTGTAGATTTAGTTTTTAATCCTGTTTTTTCCCAATAAATAGCATTCAGGGCAGCAAATACTGTACACATAAAAGAGAAATGCATTAGCACCAGCCTGCCCTGCTGCATGAGAATAATTTGAATGCCACACACCCATCCCTCTGTATCAGATAGCCACTCAGTGTCCATTAGCCCTGTGTCATCTGAGCCCTTGTGTTTGTTGTACACAGTGGAGGGAAATTCTATTACTGGTGTTTTATCCACTAGTCAGTTCCAGATGGCAGTAAAGAAATGGAATAGAGGCATTTTGAACTTCTTAACAGCCCTCCCCAGGGTAAATTATCCCCTAATAAAAAAGCTTCCCACTCTCACTTTTTAAAACGAAATGTGACATGCTGTTTCTCTAATGTCTTACTTCCCAAGGGGCAGCTTAGATTAGAATGGTAACACAAGTTCCCCTGAGCATGTAGCTGGCCCAGGCTTCCTAATGATCAGTTGTAGTCTTTTGATGGAAGAGAATCGGGTTCATATCCATGGAAGAGTTTCCATTTACAACTCATTTGCTGTGGTGCAAGCCCATTTGACTACATTACGGTTGTTATGGATAGTAATATTTGTAATACTTTATTTCGTACTTAGTTTTTTCTTTTTAGTAGATAAGGGGAGGGTCAATGTTTTGTTTAGCCACTTGACCCTATAGATATAAATTCCAAGTGATCAAGTTGGTCATACAGATTAAGTGAGAAAAATATATTTTTCATAAATGCCTCCCAATTAGTTTATTTCCACCCCTCCCCCATATTTCTTGTGACACTAAAGTGGGAATTTAATCTCTCACTAATTGTATTCCCACTATGATAAAAGTCCTTGAAAATTACACTTGTTTTTTCAGACAGTTCTCAATTCACAACTTAGTATGCACAAAATTTGCAAAGTGTACTTCTTTCAGTGTAGAAAATGCTTGTTTCAGTTCAAAATGGTGATAGGCAAATATTCTTCTAGTTAGGGTCTTCTGACACACAAAACATATGTGCTAGAATCCTATTCAACCTGCGTTAGCATCTTACATCCTATTCAGCCTCTTACACCAGTATCTTTATTACATTACTGCATAGTATATTTGCTTACATTAGTGTACATTACTAAGTAGGAGAAGCCATAAGAATTAGTATAGGAAACTAGTCACGGATAAAAACTATCTCCTTAAATCTGTGTTGTATAGTGTGACACACATGCTACCATGTCATATTTCAATATACTTAATTACCTGACTGCAAATGTTACAAACATATTTGTCTGTTTTTTTTCATTATGACTGTAATATCCCTCTCCAATTTTTTTTAAAAACAAAACAACAACCTTATTTTTTTCATTTTCCTTTGCAGATTGCTAAAGATGTGAAGCAGTTCTATGATGAGGCAGTGCTCGAAACCAAGTCAGATAATGAGAATAAATCCAAGGCAGCAAAAGCAGTTGTGAAAACTTTCCATGAAACGGTGAGCTGTGCTTCAGATTATCAAGCATAACCTTCCATGATCATCTCTGTTGCCTGTTTTGTTGTTCTTTCACTTTTAAAAAGCCCCTGAAATGCACCCAGGTGCTTTGTATACTGTAAACAAGGACTTTAGAGGCTCTTCTCCCTTAGCTACTTAACAACTGGTGTTTTCTCCAAGAAGAATTACTGTTGGACAATTAGGATGACACTAAATGTGTCATGCTTCCAGATGACACATTTAGTGTAACTTTATGTGTTTTGTTCCCTCATTTTTTCATGGGACATTCTAATAATAATGATGATGATAATGAATTATATTTGTTTTCTGCCTTTCCTAACAGCTCAGGGTGGGGTACAACACAATCAAAAGAGATCAACAACATACATACAACAAAACACATATATCATAACACACCACTATAGAATACATACAACAAAACACATTGTACAAAGACCAAAATACTGTGGCAATAGAATAAAATGCAAATCTAAAATTCATAATTCAAAGATGACTAGGTAGGCTTTCCAGAAGAGATGTGTCTTCAGTTATGTCTTAAATTCTGAAAGCTTATTTAGCTATTGGAGCTCTTCTGGCAGGTCATTCCAAAATCTTGGGGCGGCTGGTGAAAAGATCCTTTGGGTGAAGGCTGCCAGTTAGATGTTGGCTGGTTGAGCCCATCATCCACTCAGATAGCGTTTCACTGAAGTCCTTTTGACTTTCTAGAAACTGGGAAAAATCCTACCATTTTCTTTCGTAAAAATGAAATATTGATGCCATTATTTTATCTTGTTTTTAATAGGTAAGAATTTTTACATAAATGGTAATGTGAATCAATCCCACGTGAATATGTTAGGTAGAATCTTGTCAGGAAGTTAAGAATGCATAACTTAGAGTTTTGCTTTTGTAACTATTTGGTATTCATGATCCCTATATTTTCACTACTCTATGGAACATATAGGAATGATGAAAATCACTGAAACCCCATTTACTGAGCAGCTGCTACTGTAATTAACAAGAGTCTATTCCACTGTTGCCTAAGAAGCAGCTGGGGCAAGGGATCCTGTTTCTGTTTGTCACACTGCGGATCACTCACTGGAGAAGGTGGGAACATTGGTCAATTGCTTCCAGGAAAATTGATCCCCATTTATATCAATGGTTGCTTCCAGGGAAGCAAAGATGCAAGGGGTATAGAACCAGGATTCATTGCGTAGCTGCATAAGTATTATGGCTACACATTTGTAACTCCCCAACAGGATTCCAGCCATAGTCATTATAACTTTGTGGTGATCTTTAACTGATTACATTATGTTAAAAAACACAATAAACTTTCCAGTCACCATTAACTACATTATTAAAATAGCTCCCCTCCCCCCTCCCACCCAAAAAAAAAGATCATTGTAGTTTTATAGCACTGTAAGATTATACGTTTAATAATAATAATAATAATAATAATAATAAGTTGATTTGTACTTGCCACCATCTCCCCAAAGGCCCTCGGGACGGCTCACAAAAGCACTTTGAAGTGCAGCACATAAAACAATGATACATAAGCTTATAAAACAACAATATAAGTCTAAAACAACAAACACACAGAAAACCCCATCTGATAAAATTGTAAAATTCATAAAACACAGCACAACCTTTATAGCATAAAAATAACCATTATAGCATTGTGGATGTGTAGCTCTTTAGTTGTTTGCTTTTAAAAACCTACAGATATCTTAGGGCTTCTTGAAAGTTCAATTAAAATATATGAGATAATGAAATGGTATCCATCAAAACAATGTATGCTGTGAGTTTTTCCTGTCACGAAAACTCCACTTCGGGTTTTAGTTTGAACCTGTTAGAAGTTTTTCAGAACACTGAAACTGACCTCCAAAATGGTTCAGCACATTGGATTGTTCCTTTTAAGTGTGGTCTTAGACCTGGAGTGGATTCCTCAACCCAGTGACATAAGAGAAACTAGCTACCACAACAAAGCACTCCCTGATAAAAGGATCTATACTCAGAAGAAGAAAAAACAGTCTAAATACTGTGGGCTCTCAAATGCAAGCTTAGCTTTAGCTTACAAAAAGAAGAACTACATGATATAGAAACCACATCTTTGGAAATTAGTGTGTGTTTTAAGAGGCTCGGTGAAAAAGAAGAGAAATTGGAACACTCCTGAGCCTTTTCCAAGAAATCTTTGTAACTTTTCAAAGGAGCACATTTTTGCTTTTTACTGGCTTGCACCAATTAAATGGCTAATTTATTGTCCTCCAGCAAAGGATCACCGCCTTGTCGGGGCGCTGGAGCTTGAGCACCTCAATGATGTCATGAGCGAAACCGTGAAGGGCCACCCAAGACGGGACGGTCGTGGCAGAGAGGTCAGACCAAGCGTGATCCTGGGGAAGGCAATGGCAAACCACTCCAGTATCCTTGCCAAGAAAACTAAATGGACCAGTACAACCAGAGATATGTCGGTATGCCATTGGAAGATGGGATTCCCAGGTCGGAAGATGGCCAAAATGCTACTGGGGAGGAGCAGAGGATAAGTTCAACTAGCCCCAGATGTGATGACGCAGCTAGCTCAAAGCCGAAAGGAAGGCTAGCGGCCGACGGTACTGGAGGTGAACAACGAATCCGATGCTCTAAAGATCAACACACCATAGGAACCTGGAATGTAAGATCTATGAGCCAGGGCAAATTGGATGTTGTTATTGGTGAGATGCCAAGACTAAAGATAGACATTCTGGGGGTCAGCGAACTGAAATGGACTGGAATGGGCCACTTCACATCAGATGACCACCAGATCTACTACTGCGGACAAGAGGAACATCGAAGAAATGGAGTAGCCTTCATAATTAATAAGAAATTCGCTAAAGCAGTGCTTGGATACAACCCAAAAATGACAGAATGATCTCAATTCGAGTGCAAGGAAAGCCTTTCAACATTACAGTGATCCAAATATACGCCCCAACCACAGCTGCTGAAGAAGCAGAAGTAGATCAGTTCTATGAGGATCTGCAGGACCTACTGGATAATACACCAAAAAGAGACATTATTTTCATTACAGGAGACTGAAATGCCAAGGTGGGAAGTCAAATGACAACTGGGATCACAGGCAAGCATGGTCTGGGAGAACAAAATGAAGCGGGACGCAGGCTGATAGAATTTTGCCAGGAAAACTCGCTGTGTATAACGAATACTCTCTTCCAACAACCTAAAAGACGGCTTTATACATGGACCTCACCAGATGGTCAGCACCGAAATCAGATTGACTACATCCTTTGCAGCCAAAGGTGGCGGACATCCATCCAGTCGGTGAAAACAAGACCTGGGGCTGACTGTAGCTCAGATCACGAACTTCTTATTGCTCAATTTAGAATAAAACTAAAGAGATCAGAGAAAATACACAGACCAGTTAGATATGATCTCACTAACATTCCTAGCGAATATACAGTGGAAGTGAAGAACAGATTTGAAGGACTAGATTTAGTAAACAGAGTCCCAGAAGAACTTTGGACAGAAGTCCGCGACATTGTTCAGGAGGCGGCAACAAAGTACGTTCCAAAGAAAAAGAAAACCAAGAAGGCAAAATGGTTGTCTGCTGAGACACTGGAAGTAGCCCAAGAAAGGAGGAAAGCAAAAGGAAACAGGGATAAGGGAGATATGCCCAGTTAAATGCGCAATTCCAGAGGTTAGCCAGAAGAGATAAGGAACTATTTTTAAATAAGCAATGCATGGAAGTGGAAGAAGACAAAAGAATAGGAAGGACAAGAGACCTCTTCCAGAAAATTAGAAACATTGGAGGTAAATTTCAGGCAAAAATTGGTATGATAAGAAACAAAGATGGCAGGGACCTAACAGAAGCTGAAGAGATCAAGAGAAGATGGCGAGACTATACAGAAGATCTGTATAGGAAGGATAATAATATCGATGATAGTTTTGACCGTGTGGTGAGTGAATTAGAACCAGACATCCTGAGGAGTGAGGTTGAATGGGCCTTAAGAAGCATTGCTAACAACAAGGCAGCAGGAAACGACGGGATCCCAGCTGAACTGTTTAAAATCTTAAAAGATGATGCTGTCAAGGTGATGCATGCCATTTGCCAGCAAATATGGAAAACACAAGAATGGCCATCAGACTGGAAAAAATCAACTTATATCCCCATACCAAAAAAGGGAAATGCGAAAGACTGCTCAAACTTCCGTACAGTGGCCCTTATTTCTCATGCCAGTAATGTAATGCTCAAGATCCTGCAAGGAAGACTCCAGCAATACATGGAGCGAGAGTTGCCAGATGTTCAAGCTGGGTTTAGAAAAGGCAGAGGAACGAGAGACCAGATTGCCAATATCCGCTGGATAATGGAGAAAGGCAGGGAGTGTCAGAAAAACATCTACTTATGCTTCATTGACTCTTTGACTGTGTGGATCATAGGGGGGGGTGGTGTGGGGGGGGGGACGGGTGCCAGATGTTCAAGCTGGGTTTAGGGGCAGAGGAACGAGAGACCAAATTGCCAATATCCACTGGATAATGGAGAAAGGCAGGGAGTTTCAGAAAAAAAATCTATTTCTGTTTCATTGACTCTTCTAAAGCCTTTGACTGTGTGGATCATCATAAATTGTGGCAAGTTCTTATAGTATAGATTCCTCTCTCCTGAGGAATCTGACCAAGGACCAAGTAGCAACAGTCAGAACTGACCACGGAACAACAGACTGGTTCAAGATTGGGAAAGGCGTACGGCAAGGCTGCATCCTCTCACCCAACCTTTTTAACTTGTATGCAGAACACATCATGCGATGTGTGGGGCTGGATGAATGCAAAGCTGGGGTGAAAATTGCTGGAAGAAACATTAACAACCTCAGATATGCAGATGACACCACTCTGATGGCCGAAAGCGAGGAGGAGCTGAGGAGCCTTCTAATCAAGGTGAAAGAAGAAAGCGCAAAAGCCGGGTTGCAGCTAAACGTCAAAAAAACCAAGATTGTGGCAACAAGAATGATTGACAACTGGAAAATAGAGGGAGAAAATGTGGAGGCCGTGACAGACTTTGTAATTGGCAAATAGAGGGAGAAATGTGGAGGCAGTGCCAGGAAATCAGAAGACATCTACGTCTTGGGAGGAGAGCATGTCCAATCTCGATAAAATAGTGAAGAGTAGAGACATCACACTGGCAATAAAGATCCGCCTAGTCAAAGCCATGGTATTCCCTGTAACCTACGGATGTGAGAGCTGGACCTTAGGGAAGGCTGAGCGAAGGAAGATAGATGCTTTTGAACTGTGGTGTTGGAGGAAAGTGCTGAGAGTGCCTTGGACTGCGAGAAGATCCAACCAGTCCATCCTCCAGGAAATAAAGCCCGACTGCTCACTGGAAGGAAAGATACTAGAGACAAAATTGAAGTACTTTGGCCACATCATGAGGAGACAGGAAAGCCTAGAGAAGACAATTATGCTGGGGAAAGTGGAAGGCAAAAGGAAGAGGGGCCGACCAAGGGCAAGATGGATGGATGGCATCCTTGAAGTGACTGGACTGACCTTGAGGGAGCTGGGGGTGGTAACGGCCGACAGGGAGCTCTGGCGTGGGCTGGTCCATGAGGTCACGAAGAGTCGGAGACGACTGAACGAATGAACAACAACAAACGTGAGAAGGGAAGAAAGCCGACTTTTGCCGTTCTGTATTTAATAGTAACAGCTGGCCACATGACCTTGGAGGTGTCTACGGACAACGCCGGCTCTTTGGCTTAGAAATGGAGATGAGCCCCACTCCGCAGAGTCGGACATGACTAGACTTAATGTCAGGGGAAACATTTACATGTTATAGATAGTATATAGCCCTTAAATGAGCTGTTTACACTGCAGAACACCAGAATTAAAGGTTCCCCTCCATGCTACACATGTTGCAACCTTTCAGGCAGTGCCTAGAATGTTTCATCAAGCGTTTTCCTCTCAACTCAAGCCACTGAGCTAGAATTCATTTCACAGCTTATCTCCCCCTTATGATATTGTATGGATCGGCAATGAGAAACATGAGGAGGTGATTTTCAGAAGTTATATTTTAAGCCCTGTGTTTATTTGGTGATTAACTGAAAAATTGTTACTAGGAATTGTTGGCAAAGAATGTTTGTAGTCATTTTTTTCTTCCTTTTCTCTGCTTACAGCTAAAATGTTGTGGCACAGGTTCATTTTTGGAAGATATATTCAACCTTGCAAATCCAGATGACCTCTGCAGTAAAGGACAAATATTCAGAAGTGTAAGGAAGCATAATCATGATATAGCAGTGCATAGGTCTTCATTGTCTAATGAGATGCTAGTTGATTTGTTTATAGGAATGAAAAATATCATTTTACTTTGAAATGCTAGTCATTGTCCAATGCTGAAACCATTATACCACACAGGCTCTTCTTGTGCTCACGCTCTCTCTCTCTCTCTCTCTCTCTCTCTCTATATATATATATATATATATATATATATGTGTGTGTGTGTGTGTGTGTGTGTGTGTGTATCTCACATCACCCAAGGTTTTCATCTATTACCCCATTCCAATATTTTATTTATCTGTGCTCATCTCGCCCACCTTTTCCTTTTATCTTCCACAAAAAAGCATTTAGTAATGGAAAGGTCTGAAAATGGCTGAGCGGAGAGACGGCTCTAAAGTAGTTCTGGCAAACAGAGTTATACTTATAGCCAATTCAGAATTGCCTTTTTATTACGCATATCAAAGTCAAGTCTCCCTTTTCCAGAAATCTGAAAAACTCCAAAAACTGAAAAATTTAGCTGCTGACACCACTTTCACTTTAGAAGAAAGGGGATTAGTTATACATCAAGCGTATAGGTTTTTCTCAAGGAACTCTCACTCCACCACTATCAAAATTTAATGGGGAAAAGGAAGGGGAAGAGTTACACAAAGGACCTGCAAAAAGCAGATATCAGAGGAGGGGAAAGTCGAAATGCATCTGGCTATTGTAGGCTAGGGGAGTATTAGGTAGCTCTAGCCACCTGGCCAATCTACTCCAGTCACCCTTCAGGCCCCATGTATAGGGCACCCGTCCTGCCATATATCGCCATTGGGCAAATGGAAGGAAACAGGTAGATTGGAAAAGCTTCTCCAATTGAAGAAGCTGCACATGTCATATGGGTACCCTGTTTGGCGTCCTCTTTGAAGGGTAGCAAGAGGAGCTAAATCAGTGATCCCCTCCAGGTGTTCATAGACTGTACCTTTCATTAGAAATCAGCAGAGCCAGGATAGTCCAATAACATCTGGATTAGCTCTCATTGACCATTCTTGATCTAGATCATTATTATTCCATCATCAACTGGGACTGGGTCATTCTAAAGCTAGTGGTTGAGATGAATGGTGTGATGGATTTTTGCTTATACCCTAAGTCTTTCTCAAGGTTATAGCTGCAGGGGGTGGGGAGACTCACTTTCAGGTCATTTATCTGATAAATGCATTCTCTTTGTCTCAGGAGTTAGACTGCCATTCAAGAATTGATGAGCTGTTCTCCGGAAAACTGTACCTAATTGGTATTGCCGCCATTGTGGTGGCTGTGATCATGGTAAGTGCCGTTTGTGTGTCACATAGCAGAATATTTCAAGGTCTTGTGGTCCAAGCTACATCCATGGGTAGTATGTTGATGGGCTTCAGGTTCAGGCAGTAGTTGGTCGTTAGAGTTGTTGCCCTGGTCTTTAGAGTTGTAGTCCAACACTGAAATCATTATACCTCAGAGGCTCTTCTTACACAATTATAGTGATTTTGTTTTACTTTAACTGCCATGGTTATGCCCTATGGAAGCTTGGAATATGTAGTTTAGGGAGAGTCATTTAGAATTCTCAACCAGATAGATCTTCCAATACCTATCCAAACTACAAACTAGGCCTGTGCAAATGTTTTTCAATACTCATTACTAAATTGGGGGAAGGGGTGATTTCTAAAGTGTTTCTAAAATATCCTTCTCGTAATTATAACGAAATAATGATTGTGCAAGTGGGGAAGCTTCCGCGGGCTCTTTCTCCCTCATTTTTAGAGCTATTAGGATGAAACTTGCTACAGTTGTAGAACACATCTACCACAATAAACCCACTAACCCCTCAAAAAAGTTTCACACATCCACTGATTTTTTGAGAATATTGAAAAGTTTTTATGAACAACATTTTTAAAAACTACAAGAGCTATCTCTTTGAAATTTCCATTTTCAATTATAGAACATAACCAGAGCATAACCCCCCTCCCCCCAAAGTTTCAGAAAGATTTGCACATCCACTGAATTTTAGGGAATTTTACCCAACATAAACTTAACAGTACTATTTCACTGGAATACCCCAGGGGCCATCCAGTCCAACCTCCTGGGAAAGCACAGTCAAAGCATCCCCAACAGAGGCCCGTCCAGCCTTTGAAATAGAAATAATATTAATAATAACAATAATATTAATAGGAAACCTACTAGGTAAACTCTGGAGTTACTGTCTCTCAACTTGGCCTACCTCACAGGGTTGATTCAACTCCCAAGAATCCTCTTTTATCTCAAAATCCCTTTAAAGAATGAACACGGGTTCTCCCCCACCAAAACTTTCAGGGAGGGATTCTGGGAAATGTAGTTTGGGAAGGCGAGGACCCCTGTGGCAGATAATTAAAAAGACCCTGCACAAAACTACATCTTCCAGATTTTTGCTCACTTCAGAATACCGGGACTGTCCGTGTTAAAAGAACCATTGTGATGGTCTCTACTGGTCTCTCTTTGGGCTGGCCATGTGCCAGAGAGACTTATTCCTTCCCCAGCCATCCAGCCAGGCATCCCTCCCTCCTGTCTGGGTCCCCCTCACTACCTACTTTGGGGAAAGAGCCTCAGGCCCTTTGAGGGAATCAAACCCAAACCTTTTAGGGGAGAAACAGCACCTGCAACGTAGACCCGGAACCACTTACAGGACTTACATAACTCTTCTGAAAAGTCATAGGTCAGTGTTTTGAATCTTTTTACGTGGGCACTGCCCTTGTTTCTTAATATTACCTTGTAAAAGAGATCCAACATATGAGGCAGAAATGACTTTTTGCACAGGCCTAATACAAACCCCAGTATACCATAGAATGAAACCATGGCGGTAAAAACAGAATAATTGTGCTATAATTGTATACTGTGAATGCAGGCCACAATTTTAGAATTCCTCATTAAAGTTGTCCAAGAAGATTTTTGAAGGAAAAAGTTGCATGAAAGAACATTAAAAAAAAACTAGTCAGGCTTAGATCAAAGGCCTATTTATTTAGTCTATTGTTCTGTTCACATAGTAGCCAACCAGATGTATCCCCCTGACATTCCCTGGCAATTATGCAGAAGCCTTCTAATTCTAACACGGGATATACAGTACAAGGCATGCTGCTTCTGACAACCTGCTTAGTAGGCATTGAGAATCCTAACCTCCAGGAATTGATTCAGGCTGATCTTGCTAGCAGACAGTCACTATCTTTTGGCAGTGAACTCCATAGTGTAAATAAAACATTCCTTACCTCTTTGCCCTCCCACAGAAAGTGAAGGCTTGTTTTAATATTCAGGTCCTCTTTTGATGGCATTTGTTTTAAATCTATTTGGATTTTATCCAACGGAAGATAAATGTGGCCAGTTTGCTTCCAGTTGTATTGATTTTCTTGATAATGCAGCTGAAAGGTATTTACTGACTTACCAACATTATATAATTCAATGTGAAGAAAAGTAGAGAAAAATACTGAGCTGAAGCAGAATTTAATCTAAAAGTTGTATGTTTGAGGACTACTGTTTGCTACTTAAAATGCAGACCACGTTTCCATTTATTTCTAGAACTCCTGACAGTGACTTTAATTAAAATCTACAACAGTCCTTACCAGAATTAATTTGCCCCTCGGACTCTTACCAGTCTAATTAGGAGCAAATATAATGGTGCAGCCAAAGTGAGCGGTTTCTTTCACTACAAAAGTACCGGAAGTGGGTTGAGGTCTCAGTGTTTCTGTGTTTCTCCTTCTTGTCCGGCAGATCTTTGAGATGATCCTGAGCATGGTACTGTGTTGTGGCATCCGAAACAGCTCCGTCTATTGAGAAGTGAAAGGGCAGGGGCGAAGCAATGGTGCCGAAGGGACCCCAAAGTGCCGCTGTATGACGGGGAGACTCTTCCAACAAAAGACAAAGAAAATTGTGTATATAGATATTTCAGATATTACCATACAGTACTTATCATTCTTACTTGGAAGTCTTCTTTCTGTTTGTTTAAAAGGTGGGAGAGGGAGGTGGGTTTTTTCTTCTTCTTCAACTTCTTTTTTGTATATTTGTGGCAAAGTTAAAGACACATCAATTTGTGTGGTAGAAAAGCTACTAATGTCAGTGATTCCAGGCCTTTTATCAAAGATCGCCTTTTTATCCCCATTCTCCCCAGTCACTTAGCACTAACAATATGCAATTAACAAGACTTTCCCCAGATACTAGCCTTTTATGAAAAAATGGACACTTCCTGTGTCTGTGTTATCCAAACAGTTCATTGGAGGGAGGAAAGGAGGCATTGCACCAGTTCTCAGCATTTCCTGTTCTAACATTCTCTATTGTGACTTATAGAAAACCTTGTATTATTAGTCTAAATCTGTGACTGTATACAAGAGTCCTGCCTTGGTGTAATGAGACAACTGTTTTCAGATCTGCTATTTTGCTATCAATCATGCAAATTTTACAGTATGTCCAATACTTCCCACTCCTTTCCATGATGAGACTTTATTTGCAAACTTGTATAATAACCCCATTAACATGAAAAGTCCATAATTTCTCCTGGAGTTGGAACATGGAGATAAGTTAATTCTAAAAGCCCTCACAAGGTATTAATTTATAACAGTGGAAGGAATTAAACCCAAACGTATATTTTCATCCTGAGCTAAAAAATTGTTTATACAGTCATAAGGAAATATAATAGGTCTGATGATGGAATGTTTTTATATCTCACTGCTATATGTGTTTACATGATTAGTTTGGGATGAAAGTTCAATCTGGTATTATTCACTTAATAAATATATAGTAATGTAAAGATGCCAAAAGCTATCTGTGGAAGAGAATCAGTGAAATAATGACTGGATACCTGTTCATTGGAGAAACAATTTTAAGGAGGCACCTGCTTTTGTGCCTTTTAAAAAAATATAGTAGTAAATGTGGAGAATAGCCAATTGTGTATGGGTAGGACACTGCAAAGAGGCCTTGTTTGTTAGGCGCATCCACTAACTGCTTCGTTAGAATAAAATGACCGTGTTGCCCACAGCAAATCGGATAATACCCTCCCTATTTAGTAAATGATGTTGGCTTCCTGTGTTCTTTGCAAGTTGTGGTTCATTCAGATGTAAATTTATTCCTTGTCTTTCTCTGCACTTTTGCTCTTCAAATGCAGTTAGGTCTGTGCCTGTTAGAACAACCAGTTGGGGCACGAAAAGGATATGAATATGCAAAGATTTATAAGTAAGCTTACAGCTCTAGATGGAATGCTTTTAATGAACATTTAGAAGACCACACATGGATTCTGTGCCCTTGGTGCATTTTCTCCTCTAAATATGTAAGCAGAAGCAAAAAGGCTTTGCAAAAATAAATTGTTGGAATAATCTAAGCATCTCAGAAAACTAAACAAAAAAATGGTCAGAGTTTCAGGATCCCCACCACCACACAAACCACTTCCTTTTATATCATTCTGACTTGTCTGAAATGGACTCCACTGCCTAGAACCCCCTTAAAAGGTTACTCTAAATCAAACCCTGTTCGTACTACTACTAGTTTAAGAACGTATCCCAAGAATTGTGACAGTGGGGAGGGAGGACCTATTTTAGCCTTAGAAATAGCCTTAAAGCAACACTGCCCTGAATGTCAAGCTTTGCATGCACTGGAAACAGAAATTGATTCTAACAACCTACCCACTCTTCAAAGGTTCTGAGGGTCATATTTTCCAGTATAATATAGTATATGTACAATTTGTAGCTAATCAACTATGCATGTACATTTATTTACACACATACTGTATGCATTGGGGCTACCAGTGTGCAAAATCGATGTGTGTAACTCACTGCCTTTTGTCAAGTCTCCCAGAGAAATGTATATAATTGCACCACTAAGCATTCTTTTCTTATACCGTATGTTTGATATTGTTCAGCATTCAGGTGATTATCTGTTACAGCCAGCACTCTGTTCCAAAGCTTCTCAAGTCTCTCTTCTCAAGTGTGGCTCCAGCATCATCTTGGGACAGAGGCCTCTCTTTCTATTGAATGCAAGATGGCAGTGGATAGTGAGGATTTTGCTATATTGCAGGGGAGGGTAAATTCCCTTAAACTTTTTCTGGAGGTTTTTTGGAGAGTGGCACCCACAACATTCTACATCTTGCTTTATTTTGCTTTACATTTTGAAAATGGAACATTGCTTCTAAAGGATGTGGTTTTAACTTGGGGAGGTGATGCCTAACTATGCCAAGTACACATCTGGAACTTCAGTGGAGGAAAAATTGAGCTTCTCTGTTCACCACTGCTGCTTCCCCCATTCAAACTCTCTAAAGGCCTCTTTTTATTCATTGGTTTAATTTTACATAAATGCGCATATTGACATAATGTTTAATGTATGCTCTTCAGCAATAAGCAGGAGAGCAAAAAGTGGGTAGTAAAGTAGTATTAAAAAGTGCTATGTTGCAAACAACTTTTAAGTTGCATTTTTGCCTAATGCAAAGAGACAACTGAATTGGAAATCGAGTTCTCAAGGCCAGAAATAGCTTAGGAATAGAGGGAAAGTTCTACAAAAATGATGAGATAGAAGCTTTCATGTGGAATGATTGTTATAGGTCAGTAATACTTTGACCTTCATTTGAGAAACGGAAAATGATCCCCAAAATAAAACATTTTGTATATAGAAAATTAGAATTCGGGAGGTGGATTCCACCTTAGGCTTCTTCCCGACCATTAGATGCTTTCTTTTTGCTTGCAGGGTTTCTTTACCTCAGTAGCAGAGATCGTGTTTTATGTCTGAAGTGTTAACAGTCCATGAACTGTTCATGTAAGCTGGTCTTAAGACTTCTTTTAGTGCCAGTAATGACAGGATCTGTTCTCATTTTCCTTTTACTGTTTGCAAAGAACTAGCAAAAGAGAGGCACATGTGACTTTAGAAATACAAATTAAAGTCTTCTTTAAAAAATAATCCAATGTTGTAAAAGTTTGCTTTAAAATTGCCTTGGTAGGCATTATTGCTGCCAGGGAGATCCTCTCCTCTCTTAAGAATTTAGCATTAGGAAACAAATTGAGGGCTTCAGCTAAGAAATGTCCAGGTGAGAGAATGAGAAATTGTGGCAAATGCTGTTACATGAGGCAGAATTCTAGCCAAGGCTATTTAACAACTTATTCAAACTGCACGACGTTTGTGGCCAAATCTCAGAAACAACCTGGTTTTACTTTCACCAGAGAATACCAGTTGGCTGGGTTTAGCTTTATGATTATGCCCAAAGACCTTATTTTTAAGTAAACTATGATAAAGAATTCTCTTGTAAGCCAAAAGAGAAATTTAGCATTCTCACCTACAGGTTTGCTCCTGTGCAAACTGAACAGATCCAGTTATGAAGAGACTACAGAAGGAGGGCCGAACAGCGCTGCTGGCTGCAACGTCCTGAATGCTTGGTTTTCTTTTGAATATTGTGGAGCATGCCACAAGCTGTATATTCATGTGAAGTACTATTTCTTCTCTGCCTTCTTTTTTGGGTCACTTTTCAGATTTTTAATAAACATTTCCTCTTAGTGTGTATTGTGTGGTGAAGCCCTATGTTTTTTAAAGCGCCAAGAAATCACAACACCTGAATGCTTTGACCATCAGATCTCCACAGCACTGGCAAAGCCAGCCTTGGGAACAGAAAACAAATGGGGTGAGACAAAGACAAGAGGAAGAAGGAATGGAATGAATCTTGGCCAGTCTTGTTCTGGTCAGAGAAAAGCCATGAGGCAAAGTATATGAGGTGAATCTATGGAGATAACATTTGCATTAAAAATGCAATGACTCTTCCCCAAAAACCCAGTTTTCAACTAGGTTAATGAGATGAAAACAATCAATTCCAACATGTTCCTATCAATGCCCAAGAGTACAAGCATACATATGGGGCCCTAGTCATATAAGTCTTTACTTTTGTGGGTTATAGCAAACCGCCTAATTTTGTAATTTTTTCCATTGGTTCTGTGAAAGGGGGAGGAAGGAATGAACTAGGGAGGCATGACATACCGCTGCCATCTCCCCACATTTGCCATCAAAATCCCCATTCTTCTCATCATCCTGGCTTCGCTTGTGCTCAGCAATCTTGCCTATTTGCTGTTGTCTTGCTTGTTTATCTGAATGTTAAAGGAATCTGTCAAAATAACATTTTTTAAGAAAATATATCTATGACAACAATTAAAACAACCAAAAACCAATTGTGTCCTGTCAGATTTATTCCTTTCTTTAATACCCTGGAACAAGGGTGCTGTCTCTGACTTTCTGGCTCAAGTGCTGCATGGGTGAATTCTGCTTCCTTAATTATTCATGTAGATCCCTGCTTTCCCATTTTAAGCAATAGTCACTTCCTGTTTCCCAGAATGTGTATATCTGAAAAGATATTGGGCTGTTGCAAAGATGTTGAGCTTCATCCTGATATTGTGTGGTATAATTCCTGCCTTCAGATCTGTGGCATGTTATTCAAGTGGTCATCTTGAGAGCAAAAAGAAAGGCTTTCACATATAAGAGGTGGTAATAAAGATCTGGGTAAGTGGAATCGCTTATTACCAGTGTGGGCAAGCAGCTTTTTGAGTGCTTTTCAGCTCCAACTTCAAGCAGGTTAACTTGTGATAATGCGCTTTCTATAGGGCTCAACTAGTTCAGTGACCAAGTGTCGTTTGGTGATCAGTTTCAAAAGTCTCAGGAATCTGAATCCATTCTCTCAAAATCAGCAAAGCTAGAGATGCTACCATTTGATTGTTACTATCTCTTATCTGTCCACTGTGGATAGTCTCTGGCAAAGGGATAGGCTTCAAGTTTCAAAGCATCATCTTTCCTCCACTTTTCCATACAATCAGTTTGGTCCTGCATGTAGAATTTCCCCCCACTTCAGAGTCTATAGATATTTAAATCAACCATTGCCAAACAATTATTTTTTTTTCTGGAAGGACTTTACTTGAGGTTTTACAGCTGTTTCATTGAAGAGCTCTGGGTGCCCTGCCCAGCATTTTCATGTGCATAGAAGTATTGCTAAAAATGTCAATTATTGTAGCATTAAATGAACAGCAATAAAGCTGTTTTTGTTATTGAGTTGCAATTTTAGTGGGAGAGTGTATAAATCATAATATACGAGCAATCCTCCTCCCCCCCCCCCCCCCCCCCGGGCAGGAATTAAGCTATTTGGTATAAATAAGGCTTTAATATTTCACCATTGTCTCTTCTTCCCTTTTCTTCCTTCCAGTGAGGATGCACAATTTGCCTCTCTCTTTAGGCAAAATGTAGCTAATTTTTGGACGTTTTACTCTTTTACCTTTCTTAGAAGATGAGACTTAATAAACTGCTCCAAGAACTTTTCTAACTAGAATTTATTTCTTTTATTTTAAATAGTTTTGAACCTAAACATCAAAGCATCCGGGCGTCCCCTGGGCAACGTCCTTGCAGATGGCCAATTCTCTCACACCAGAAGCAACTTGCAGTTTCTAAGTTGCTCCTGACACACACACACAAAATGGTAGCTATGATTTTTAAGGACAAGTAATAAACCTTAAGATACCGGAAGACAGAAAGAGAGTTTGTGGCTATATCTCAAAATAAATAGGATAGCGTGTTTCAAATTTTATTTTACAAGTCATTCAGCTCTTGTGTGCCTTTTATGGCGATCCTGAAGTGTAACTATCATGATGTTTTCTTGGTAAAATTTGTTCAGAGGGGATTGGCCTTACAATTAATGCACTTTAATTATGGCTTAATCCTATGGAATCATGAGAGTGTCAGACTGCATTAATTTGATTGTAGGTGCAGCCAAAATTCTTGAAGCTCGATCCCTTGCTTCCACACCAAAACTGAAGAGCCGAAGTGACAATTGTTTACATCAGGTAACACGGAAATTCAGGACTTTTTCTGCTTCAGTGGTCTACCAGCATCTCCTCCATATGCTCTTAAAACAGTGGTTCTCAACCTGCAGGTCCCCAGGTGTTTTGGCCTACAGCTCCCAGAAATCCCTGCCAGTTTGAAACCGAGCAAAAATTTGGGGGTCCTGCGGCAAGCAGGAACCGGCGGAAGGCAGAAAAACCCCTCTTGGGAAGGCTGCTGAGCCAGAGACCCCTTTCCAGGGGTCATCCTGAGGATCCGCAAAACACCTGCCAAGCTATTGAAGCCAATAAGAGTTTCCCTTCCCCCAAATAAATCTCACCAGGTTGAAGGAAGGCCACAAAAGTTTATTTCTGTTCCAGCTGGAAAGGATGCCAACTGCAGTATTCTGCTGAAGAAGCTGGCATTCATGGATACAGCAAAACATACTTTTTATACACTTCTCTGAATTTTCCATGCCCGGCTCCCTGGGACGGGCTTTGCTGTGATTGGTCAAGAGACTCCCTGACGTCAGTGAGCCGGGAGGAGTGGCTGGGGGCTGGTGCGTCTCAGCCAATGAGAGCCCAAGCCCCGCTTCTGATGTCACTTCCCTCCCAGCCAATAGCTACAGTGAAGGTGCAGCAATGGCACAATAAAGAGAAATACTCGTCTAATGATTGGTATATGATTGGCCCTTCCTAGGCCTTATTGACACACAGATCTAGGTGATAGCTGAAAGCCATATAGCCCGTTCTGATTATGGAAATTTGAAATAACAAATTCCCAAGAGAGGGTCTGGCAAGTCAGTACCAGTTCCATTGTTCCAAGAGCAACAATATTGACATTTTGATGGGATCTGATCATCTGATTTCCCGGGCAGGGGAAATGTCATTATTTGGGAATGCTGCAACATTGCCTTCTCCCTGCAGAGAGGAAATGTCCTTTATGAAGTGGCCTGATTCTCCGAGGCTTGAGTAAAGGGGCTACCAAGCTTATTGTCAACAATATGAGGTGTTTGAAAGTCCATTTAAACACAGATTAAGGTCTGGGGCAGCTTGGGGCACCCAGGTTCTGGAATGCTGGCTAAAGTTCCCAAGGAGGTCATCTTGTTTCATGTTTCATATACACATACAATTTATTAATAATACATAAACACACAGGGGGATCCATAGAAAGGAGGGATTGGGGAGAGGGGTCCCTTCCACCTAGGAGTTCATAAAGGGTAATAAGGGGTTCAGCCAACTGTCAATTCATAAAAATTATCTAAAAGGTTGGTAGAAGGCTTGGGGTTCATGAGTGACACAAAGGTGGTCCCTGGGGTCAGCAGGCACCACTCAGGGCGACGTACACAGGGAAGTGGAAAACATACGCCAATGTTCAGTTGAAATGCGAGACTACAAAAAGGTATTTTGTAACCACAAGGGTTTTTTTGAATAAGGCAAAAAGGTGAATTTGGAGGGCGTAGAGGTCTGTCCAGCAAAAAGTGAGATAGCAGTTAGTTTTAGAATTAGTCAAGAATCAATATGGCATTGGTTTGGAGGAGATCAGTTAAGCCACAGTTACGGAGATCCAAAGCCCAGATTCGGTATCCACGGTTAAAAGGACCACAGTTTCTTGCCCCTGGGATTCTGCCAGAGTATCCCGGCCAAGCCTGCAAGGTTTCATGGTTTGGAGGAGAGAAAGATCATAGTGTAGGAGTCAGAGAAGATACAATGTTGCAAGTAAGGTGCTGGAAGAAGGGATACATTTCATTAGGAATTTGTTACAAGGTGGCAAGAGGAGAGTTAGTGGAGAGAAATGGAGCTTCTGCTGGAGCTGTTACTGCTGAGATGGCCTCAGCTGAGGTCTTGAGTAATATCATATTGTGGTCAGTTCTTGAGTCTGTGGAACTCCCTGCTGCAAGCAGCTGGATCATATAAATTTCAAAGCAGGGGACTCTGTGCTTGCCATCAAATTAACAAGCTGTTAGAATTTCTGGGAATTGAAGGCCAAAACATCTGGGGACCCACAGGTTGAGAGCCTCTGCTCTAAAATAAAAACAAAGGCAGCAGCTGATGCTATTTCAGATTGTTTGTACGGACAAAGGGGATGATACATTCCTGAGTTTTGAGAAATGTGCAAAAGCTGCTTCCTGTTCCCGGAGGGAAATAGTGAACACTGGCCCATTTGCAGATGGGAAGCTGAGAAACACACATATTGAAGCTGGTGGGAACTGAAAGAAATAGCACCTTTCATTTTAGGTCGTTACAATTTAGTGCCAAAAATAAAATGGCCCCATAGAACAACATTGCTAGCAGAGAATTTTTGAATCAAAAAAACCCCACTGAATTAAAGGCTGATTGATTTTGAAATATGGGAAACCAACCAGCCTTTAATTCTTAGTATTCTGCAGAATGGAGAAAGAAGCCCTTGTAAAAAAGTTTCTAAAGTGGTTCTTCCCCCCCCCCCCCCCCCAAAGTACAGTGATATTAACAAGAATTTATAATCTTGTGCTTTTACATAAAAGCTCTGTCGATTGGCTATGACACAAAGTATTACATCATTGATTCATCAAGAAATTAATATAGAAGTTTGTGTGTGTGTGTGTATTTGTTTGTAGCGGAGCCTCATTTTTTCTTTAGCTGATTTGAACCAGGTAAATAAAGGTCTTCTTTTCTTACTGGTTTGTATTAGTCAGTAGAAATGAATGCCTTATCAGAGTCCTTCCAAGCTTCTTTGCCCCCATAAATCTCTGTGCTTTTCTAATTACCTTTGAAAAAACAGCATTCTCCTGTTTCTTTTCCAAATGGGAACCCCATGGGTCATCCAGACTTACCCTCTTTTTATCAAATGGAAATGTAAAATCACGGCACTGTCACTATGACTGAATCACCAGCATTGTGTGAGACCTTGTTTCATCTACAAGCTTTAAAATGCTGTACTGTATAAAATCATCTTCAGACTGTATACATAAGGTGTATATGAAAAAAAATGAATTTCATATTTAGACTTGGGTCCCATCTCCAAGATATCTCATTAATTATATGCAAATATCTTTATCTGGAGATTTGAAATACCCATATTTACTGGAGTCCAATGTGCCAGCGAGTCTAATGTGCACCTCAGTTTTCAAAAACCTGCAACCAAATAATAATAATAATAGTAATAATAATAATAATAATAATAATAATAATAATAGCTGTCAAATGTAATGTGCACTCCTTGTAATTTGACCAAAAAAAGGCGCGCATTACAGTGGCCACATGCTTATAATTCCTTCTTTAAAAACAAAAATGTTGGAACACCAATGCTTTCAGCAATGGAAAAGAAAACCTTGAGGTGCATCTATGCTGTAGAATGAATTCACTTGAACTGTCCTGGCTCAGTGCTATGGAGTCATGGGGGCTGCCAAAGAATGCAGATGCCTCACCAAACTACAAATCCACAGTTGCACAGCATTCCATCCCGCCCCTCTAAACCAAATCCTGCTGCAGCAGAAGAAAGCCTCAGGGCTAGCATTCCATCCCACCCTTCCAGGACTTGTATCTGCCAAAGGAACCCCCTGAGGCATGGGGCAAGGGTGCCTGTTTGGCTGCCCACCGAAGGCCAGTGTTCCACCCTGTGCCTCTAAGACCAATTCATGCCCCAACAGAAAGCACCCCCAGGGGCAGGGGGCCTTTGTGGCTGGCCACAGTTGGACAGCAATCCACCTCACCCCCAGAAGACCAAATCCTGCCCCAGCAGAAGGAACCCTAGGGGGCATGGGGTGGGGGGGGGAGGGTACCTGTTTGACCATGAACCCCATCTTCACTTTCCCTTGCCTGTGCTGCATCCACTCCCTTATCATGGTGTCCAAGAATTGGTAGATGGTATCAGCCTTGTACACCTTTGTCTATCACTTCCATTGCTAGCAGGGCTCCGTGATGCCCCAACTCCAGGCTTCCCTCCTCCCACCAATATTCATTGAGAGACAGGTAGGAATGGCCTCCTCCCAAACTGAACCAAATGTCCGAGGTGAAGTGGATGTAACTTGCTTGGGTGCCCCGCAGAAACTTCATCAGGCGTTCCTTGCAGCCCTCATACAAGGATGAAATTACACTTTGGGAGAAGGTTCAGAGCGTGGGGATCTTGCAGCGTGGAAACGCAAGTGCCATCAAGCTCCAGAAGCCTTCCTTCACCATACAGAAGGGCTGCTGGTTGAGAGCCATCATCTTTCCCACATACTGGGTGATTTGCTTGGCTGTGGGTGACATTCCCCCCGATCTCATCCTGCCCATGGACAGGCCCCAAGCTTTCATTGTGGACAGGGTCAGTGCCCCCCCCCCTTTGGCATAGAAGGCAAAGTAGGAGTATTCTGGCTGCTGCTGCAGGTGCTGCCAGTTTCTATTTCCCCACCTTGATGGCTGGGTGATGCCTCTTCATGTGCATCCTCAAACCTGAGGTAGTGAGTTGCCTCAATTCTTTCCCCCTGCTGATGCTCCCCCCCCCCCCCTCAGTTCCTGCAAAATGTCAGTGTGGTAATCTGGAATTAGACATCAAAATGATCCCAGAGGCACAACTTGGGCCTTCCCATCACACCAGCATCTGAGGACTTGTGTGTGAAGGTGGTGCAGGGGCTGCAGGGGGCAGATGTTGGTTCACTCTTCTCTGAATGCCCCTCCTCAGGATTGCTGACAGCCAAGAACAGACGTGGGGGGTTGGAAAAGAATTTCTATGGTTCCCTCCTCCCTCACCTTCAATACATCATCATCATGACCCTCTTATGATTGGTCTGAGCTAGTAGCAGCAGAAATGGGACATGGAAAGTGGGACCCAGAGGAACAAGTTTCTGCTGTTGAAGTGCTGGCGGAATCACCACCTCCACTACCCACGGTAGAACCTTCCTGCACTGTGTTGCTTGCCCCCCTCCCTTTCTTGCTGCCTTGGGAGCTACACGCAGGAAAAGACAAGGAGGTCTTGCGTCCCAAGCCACTTTCTGCAGAACGTTTCATATTGAAAATGTATTTAAACGAAATTATATGAAAGGCAGGCTGGTGAACCCCCAAAAAGAAATAACTGGGATGCCTTCCCTCAGGCTTGAGGAAGGCAGACCATGGGGCTAAAGAGGGTGCAGTAGGACTAATGGGATATGTTATCCAACACAAGCAACAAGCAAAGGCGAAAGGCAGGCTGGTAAACCCCAAAAAGAAATAACTGGGATGCCTTCCTTCAGGCTTGAAGGAGGCAAACCACAGGGCTAAAGGGGGTGCAGCAGGTCTAATGGGATACATTATCCAACACAAGCAACAAGCAATGGCAAAAGGCAGACTGGTGAATGCCCAAAAAGAAATAACTGGGATGCCTTTCCTCAGTCTTGAGGAAGGCAGACCAGAGGGTGCAGTAGGACTAAGGTTATCCAACACAAAAGACAAGCAAAGGCAAAAGGCAGGCTGTTTGAACCCCAAGAAGAAATCCAATACTCAGTCTTTCACTCTTCTCACACTTCAATGTTTCTCTCCCTCCTCCCAAACGTTTTCTTCAATCTTCTTTCTCCTTTCTCTCTCCAAAACCTTTCTTCCTTCTCCCTTCTCCTCCTCTCCAAACCTTCTGTGGCTGGGATGCAATGCCTATTGCCTATTGCCTATTGCCTTGCCTCCACTTCCACCCAGCAGCAGCAAAAGTACCCCAGCATCCACCCATGTTCCTGCCCTGCCCTGCAATGAGCCAGCAAGCCATGTGATCTGGCTTATAAGCAGCAATGGCTGCAAGGTGCTGATAACCCCTCCCATTTTCAAAGCGTAAGCCCTGATTGGCTGGAAGGCAAGCACTCTAGGCTGCACCTCCCAGCAGTCTTGCTTTCACCCAAAAAGCTTAATCAGACATCCACATCTACTTCAGGGCCATTCAAATCAATGGCCTGGGTCACTAGGGATCTACAGGGGACTTCTGACTTGCCATTGCACCTCAGCAACTTCTGAACGGATTTGCTGATGCCTACTAAAGAGGTTGCAAAACTACCACCCCAAGTTTTTTGGGTTTTTTTTGTCATGTCAGGAGCGACATAAGAAACTGCAAGTTGCTTCTGGTGTGAGAGAATTGGCAAGGACGTTGCCCAGGGGACACCTGGATGATTTGATGTTTTTATCATCCTTGTGGGAGGCTTCTCTCATGTCCCTGTATGAGGAGCTGGAGCTGATAGAGGGAGTTCATCCGCCTCTCCCCGGTTTCAAACCTGTGATCTGTCGGTCTTCGGTCCTGCCGGCACAAGGGTTTAACCCACTGCTCCACCGGGGGCTCCACCACCCCAAGTTCTAGATGGTGTCAAACAGCCTTCATTCTACAGTGTAAACGAGCCCTTAGCCTGTCTTTGGCCTGCCTTCTTACTTGCGTTTCCATCCGATTGGTCAACAGCAAGGCTAGAAATCAGGCACGGGCCAACTTCGTCCCTCCAAGTGTTTTGGACTTCAGCCCCCACAATTCCTTACAGCCTGCTGGCTACCACACATTCATATAGTCTTGAGCCATACATTCATGGAACCATAGAGTTGAATGAGATCTCGTGGGAGAGTCCAAAAATGGCAGGTTAAGACCCAAAACCTCAATCAATGGCTTTTTTTTTTGTTGTGTCAGGAGCGACTTGAGAAACTGCAAGTCGCTTCTGGTGTGAGAGAACTGTTTAGGGCTTTATAGGCTAACGCCAGCACTTTGAATTGTGCCCGGTAGCAAACTGGCAGCCAGTGGAGCTGGCGCAACAGAGGAGTAGTATGCTCCCTGAGTGCCGCTCCTGTTAGCAACCTGGCTGCCGAAGGCTGGACCATTTGAAGCTTCCGAGCAGTCTTCAAAGGCAACCCCACGTAGAGAGCGTTGCAGTAGTCTATACGGGATGTGACCAGAGCGTGGACTACCGTGGCCAAGTCAGACTTCCCAAGGTATGGGCGCAGCTGGCGCACAAGTTTTAACTGTGCGAATGCTCCCCTGGTCACCGCTGAAACCTGGGGAGGGCCTTCTCACAGTGACACCAGAGGCAATCCAAGTGGCCAGCTACTGGTCAAAGGACATTTAATAGAATACCAAGTTTGCAAACTTTGTTTTGTTTGTTTTAATGCAATGTAACTGTTTGGTTCACTCCTGACACGATAAATAATCAATCTAGTCCAACCCCCTACCAAGAAGCAGGAAAATCGCATTCAAAGCACGCCTGATGGTCTTGTACCGTACATTCATATAGTGCCGTATAGTCCTGTACCATACATTCATAGTGTTTTGTACCATACAGTCATATAGTCTTGTGAAAATACCAAGGCAGTGACATCTCTGGTCCACCCTGTTTGGGTATCAGCCAGCACGGCGACAACTTAAATCAAGAAATAGTTTTCTAAGATCTACAGAGACACTCACTGGAACACCTCAGCAAGCAAGAGTCCAAAAGTGGCAGGCTCAAACCCAGAACCTCAACCAATGGCTGATACCAAATGAGAGACTCCCCACTGGGCACACAGAAAACAGGGCGACTTGGAAGGTGCTCAACAGACTGCGTCCTGGCACCACGAGATGCAGAGCCAACCTTAAGAAATGTGGCCACAAAGTGGAATCCACGACATGCGAGCGCGAAGGAGAGCAAACCACTGACCACCTACTGCAATGTAACCTGAGCCCTGCTACATGCACAATGGAGGACCTTCTTGCAGCAACACCAGAGGCACTCCAAGTGGCCAGATACTGGTCAAAGGACATTTAATAAAATACCAAGTTTGCAAACTTTGTGTTGTGTTTGTTTGTTTGTTTGTTTGAATGCAATACAACTGTTTTGGTTCGCTCCTGACACAATAAATAAAGGTTGTTGTAGGTTTTTTCGGGTTATATGGCCATGTTCTAGAAGCATTCTCTCCTGACGTTTCGCCTGCATCTATGGCAAGCATCCTCAGAGGCAACCTCTGAGGATGCTTACTATAGATGCAGGCGAAACGTCAGGAGAGAATGCTTCTAGAATATGGCCATATAGCCCGGGAAAACCTACAACAATCTAGTGATTCCAGCCATGAAAGCCTTCGACAATACATTAAATAAATATAGCCTTGTACCAACTATTCTTATTGGCCCATGCCTGCTATAAATACTCCAGCAGACAGGACGCCTGGAGAACAGCAGGCTTGGCAAAGGCCAACCATTCCTGGGTCCTAAAAGCGCAGGAGGGCTTTCGGGACATGTAGTCCGAGAGGCCTGACGCTAGAGTGTTTCCGTAACCCTTGGGCCGGTTTAGGAAACTACGACTCCCAGGGTGCACCGGGAGGAGCTGCGCAGGCGACGCGAGGCCGCGGCGGAAAGCGAGGGCCGCCGTTGTGCTGGACGGAGGTGGCGCGAAGGAGAGAAACCCAAGCCCGCAGGAAGGAAGGAAGGAAGGGCCGGCGGCAGGTATGGCTCCAACAAGCGGGGAGAGGGCGGCCTTCTTGCGAGATTCCGCCGCTCCAGCTCCCTGCCCGTGTCGATTCTCACAGTCGTAGTCGGCCCGCTCCCTTAAGCGCCTTCTGAGCGTGCATCGACACCAGGCACAGGCAAACTTGGGCCCTCCAGGTGTTTTGGACTTCAATTCCCACCATTCCTAACAGCCTCAGGCTTAAGCGGCTGAGGGGGGAAAGGAAGGGGCCTGAGGCTGTTAGGAATGGTGGGAATTGAAGTCCAAAGCACCTGGAGGGCCCAAGTTTGCCCGTGCCTGGTATACACTGTTAGATTAGTGCAGCCTAACACCACTTTAATTGCCATGGCGCAATGCTATGGAATTCTGGGATTTGTAGTTTACTAAGGCACCTGCATTCTTTCCCAGGGAAGGATAAAGGCATTGAAAACTACAGCCCCCCAGGATTGCATGGCATTGAGCCCCGGCATAAACGTAAACATAACCAGTTATCTTACTGATAGACCATAAATAGATAGTCTGAAGGAAATTTGGTACATAGTATTTCAAATGATCTGTATGTCGAACATAGTATTTCAAATGATTTTGTATGTCGAACAAAGTTTGTGTACATTGAACCATTGGAAAGTAAAGGTGGCTCTCTCTCAGACTCCTGTGTGTGAACATTTCTGGATTTTGGAGCATTTTGGATTTCTGGATGAGGGATTCTGTTTTGGAAATTTTATTTATTTATGACATTTCTATGCCGCCCTTCTCACCCCGAAGGGGACTCAGAGTGGCTAACAAGATATATTATACTGAGGTTCATAAGGGGAGATATAGATATAACTATTGTAACTGAATAACTCAGGATTATGTCTGTTCTTGTTTTTATTGTATTTTAAAGTTAATTGTATAGTACAATATCATTATTAAATATTACTACATTGTACTATACAATTATATTGCGGTATTATTAGTAATATTGCATATAATAAAAATATAGTATTATAATATATTATTAGTAGTATTACATTGCATTACATTATAATATTATAGATTATTTATTTATTTATTTATTTGACTTGTATACCGCTACTCCCAATTTGGCTTGGAGCGGTTTACAGCAGTAGATTAAAACAATACAATTAACTTTAAAATACAATAAAAACAAGAACAGACATAATCCTGAGTTTTTCAGTTATAATAGTTATAATATCTATATCTCCCCTTATGAACCTGCGAGGACCTCTGCGAGGAACCTGCTCTCGGTCCCACCACCATCACAAATACGGCTGGCGGGGACAAGAGACAGAGCTTTCTCAGTGGTGGCCCCTCAGCTATGGAACGCCCTTCCTAGGGAGATTAGTTCGGCTTCTTCGCTTCTATCATTTCGGAAGAATCTTAAGACATGGCTATTTGAGCAGGCATGTGAGAATACTGAGTAATGGATATAATAACAGAATAACTATATGATGGAACTGGACATAGTTTTAATGAGTATCTATTGAAGTATGTTTTTCATAATGTTTTGATTTTATTGTTGCTAACGTTTTTATATTGTATATTGTATTTGTATTTCTGGTGGCATTGAACAAACCACCTCAAGTCGCCGGAAGGCTGAGAAGGGCGATATAAAAATATACTAAATAAATAAATAAATAAATATACAATATATTATATTATATTATATTATTAGCATAGCACAGGAGATGAGGTGGAACTGTCTTCTGCCCCTGTCTCTCTTCACTCTGGCCCAGAGCGGCAGTTGGTGCTGGGGAAAGGAGTCCCCTACTGAGGACATATGCAGGAGACAAGATGGAACTGTCCCCTGGCCTGCTCTCTCTTCACTCTGGCTTTCTGAAGAGGGAGTTCTTACTTGGTTTCAGCTCACCTGGGCCATTTTAAAAGTAACTGGAAACGTGAGAAAGCTGAAGATTAATAGGGATTGTCTCTTCCAAACCAGTTGGAGAATATGATCATGTTCCATAACTTACTTTTGTGCTGCAATAAAAGAAAGAGAAAATGGGAGGACGTTGCCAAAGTGAGTCTTGAATTGCTGCGAGAATATGAACTTGAGGAAAAGGGGTAATGTACTCTTTGGCTTTCCCACAGTTGAGATAACGGGGACCAAGACTATTATGGAAGACTCTGAGTGGGATCTTTTTAACCAGAGTGAAGCCATTCTGCCTGAACTGCATCATAATCAGATGACTACAAGGAACGTGTGAGTCTTATTTCTGGAAATTATTTCTCACAATTTTTTTCTCTTTACTTGCCAGTGAGGACTGCCTAAAGCTCCACTTTAAAAAAATCCTCATGCTGCTAATATTGTCTCTGAATATTTACATTTTCACTGTTCATTTCCTCTTGTTGTTAGAATAATACTTTCCTTTTTTTACCCATCTCATTCTTTTAAACTGATTTTGTTATAGTTTGGGGATTTAATTTAAATAGCTTTCCTGTTAGTTGCTGTGTTTGGACAGCAACCTTGGAAATGTGACATCACTGTCTAAAGGTTCATCTACACAGTTGAATTAATGCAGTTTGGTACATCTTTCAATGTCATGACTCAATGATATGGAATCCTGGTAGCTGCAGTTTGGTGAGGCACCAGCAATCTTTGGCAGAAAAGGCTAAAGGCCTTGTAAAAGTACAACTCCCTTGATTCCATAGCATTGAGCCATAGCAGTTAAAGTGGTGTCAGATTGCTTTAATTCAACAGTGTGGATACCCCCTCAATGAAGTGATCTTGTTCCTGACATCTGTGCCAAAAGCACAATGATTGTGCGGTTTCATATAATTAGTTACAGATACCATTCGTACAAGGCTCAATGCCTCACAAAATTGTCAGGTATCATTGATATAGTAGAAGATTGCTCCTTCACATTATTTATTTGCACTGATGACATGTCCAACCTCTTACTGCCAGGCTCCAAGATCTGAGAACCTTGGTGGCTTTAAATGACCCTGAGGATCGAATACTGTTTCAGACTCCAGATGGTGAGTGGCCGGTAGAATTTTCTGTACATTTTTTACCATCACCATAATGCAGGATCTGATGCAGCTTCACTCCAATGCAATGCTTTCCTCTTGTGGTAACCAGCCATTGGATCCTACAAAAATCACAGATATGGAACCACTACATAATCTTGGACACTGAATAGATGTGGCAGGAAATAAAAGCTGGAATGGCTCTCAGAGTGCAGAGGTGGTGTCTCTTAGGAAAAAGCTTCCCCTGCCATCTTCGTATTAGGAAGAGAGAAAGGAACTATAGTCATCCAGTGAAATTTGTGTGCCAGAATGCTTTTCTCATCTTTCCCCCCCAAATATCTACAAAATAATAATAGTTTGCACCAGCAGAGATAGTTATAAAAATTAATTACTGGATACATGCACAGAGGTAGAAGAGAATATGGTTTTTTATCAAATGGGGAAAGTACATTGACATATACAAAATGTTTTAGCTTTTAAATGAGAGCTAGCATAGGGAAGTGTTACAGGTCTTTAAACTGCATTCTTAAATTATAAATATAATTTGTAGTATTAGTTGAGAAGAGGTCTTGTTAATCATTAGCTTGTGTTATGTCAATATTTCTCTCCTTTTATAAATGGGAACCTTGTCCCATTTGAACAGCTGATGTTCCTTACTAGTATCCTGAGCTTGGCAGATATGTCTTGATGGACGATCTAATCACCATCATGGCTAAATTTGAAGTTACAGTGAACATACTGCCATACATCTGCACACAACATGGGAAATTATTCATGTGACAGTTTTTCTAAAAGTATTCTATTGCCTGATGATTGGTCTTTGTAAGAGAGGATATGTTGGTAGATTTAATTAAGCAAGGAACCACAGAAGACAGTTTCTGTTATGGTGTGTCCTGTAAATTCATACATATTCTCCACATATAGGATTAGAATTTTTATTTTTCAAACTTATTTTATTTATAGTATCAGAAGTGAACCGAGGATACAGCTGTAATATATTAAAAAAAACATTTCTCAAATAAAGAGGGGGGATAAAGTAGTGGCATTGCTTAGCTTTTGTAGTGGAAGAGTAATTTCTCATAGCAAAAGTGACTTCAGAGTAATTTAGTTGGGATGGTAGCGCAATTGGGCTTTCCGTGTTAATTCTTCTTTCTTCTTTTTTGTCTTGACATCTCCAATATTGACATTTCCTGATAAAGGACCAGCTGTCAAAATATAATTTCATTTTCACAATTGAGCTTAACTGTATCTTTTTATTCTAGGATCTAAACAACTCAGAGGGCTGGAAAACATAGTTGGCTAAAGGAAGGCTGAAGCAAGGGACGGCAGATTGCAAAGAACAACAAAGTGTGAAAGCCAAGTACTCAAGATGGGAGAGGAACGTGCGGGTGAACCCCTGCTTGGTGTAGTGGCTGGTGAGGATGCAGATTATGAGGGTGTTCTTCCCACGGATACAGTTTCCCTGAGCGATTCAGATTCGGAGGACTTTGCGTTTCCAGGTGATCCTGAAGTTGATACCATATCTCCTGAAGAACCCTCCCCTTTGGATGATGCGGATGGTGGAGGAGATGACAACAGTGTCCCCTTCCGTCAAAAGTCACAGGTTCAACCTTTTCACCTGAAAGGGATGAGTTCCAGCTTCTCACAGCGAAGCCAGAGCATTTTCGATTGTCTGGAAGGTGCTGCAAAACAGGCTGTGCCCTCAATGGCTGAAGACAATGTAATTGATGGCAGGTTTAAGCGCCCACTCCCCCCTCCCACCTTTCCGAACAAGATGTTGACAGAAAGTCTTGGAAGGCAAAATAAGCCACCACCAGCCAAGAAAAGTGCGCCAGCAGTTCCTGACTATGTGGCTCACCCAGAAAGATGGACCAAGTACAGCTTGGAAGATGTTTCAGAGTCTAGTGACAAGGTCAACCGATCAGTTGCCATGGAGTTTCTCGAAGGCTTGAAAAAAACTAAAGGAGAACAAAGCCCCATCTGTCCTGAAAGCTATTCCCCATCTTTCAACCAAGATTCGTCCAGCTCTGGTGCAGGAAGGATTGTTTTTACCAAGCCCACAAAGGCAGGCTCACAGAAGTCAGAAAGGAAAAGAGCAGCTCCAAGTGAAGATGACGAAGCTAAAAATACCGATGCAAATGAGGAGCTCAAAGGGAAGCTTCCAGATAAGACTGACACCCAGGAAGAGGAAGATAAAGTTGTACCAGGTCCCCTAAAGAGTGGTGGAAAGGAAGTGGGGGATTGGAATCCACCAAAATTGGAAGAGCTGGGTGTTCAGAAAGGATCTGAGACAGACTCTTCCAAGGCAAGTGGTGATAGAGTGGTGGTGACTGTGGGGTTCCATGGCAGCAAGAAAAAGGATAGGAAGAATTTCCGACCCAAAGCTAATCGTGAGGAGGAGGAAGAAGAGGCATAAACATCGGAGAAATTATTGCAGTGTCTTCCTAAAGATGTTCCCCGGAAAATATTTTTCTCCATTATTTGCATGAGTCCTGCCAACATTCTTGTTTTATTTAGCAAACTTGTAACTTTAAATACTAGGATGTTGCACTTTTTCCCTCCAAGAAGCCTTTGTCTGCATTATAGAATCAAAACTAGAAGACATGTTGTGTTGAAGTTGAAGATTCTATGTGTGTGGCAAAATCCATTATTTAAGTTATGGAACAATTAAAAAAAGATACCCACTTCAAATTTGGATGAGCTGTTGTTTGCTTAACCATTTATGCAAAATCCATTGACAGATATTTCTTGGCTGCATATCCTAAACAGCTAATAGCACCCATGATATAGTACAACTTGAAAAGGCAATGTCGTATGGATGAGGTACAAGATGTGCCTGTTCGATTGCTGTGTGAAACAAAGGTTAACTTGTACCTCTGCATTATCAGTGAAACTAAAAGCACAGTCTATGAGAAGCCATATGGAGATACAGAACCAGAAGATAATGCTCTGTGAAAAACAGTGTGCTTGTTTTACTAGAACATGCAATTTTGACAACAAACTTGGCTTGTGGATGTCAGGTTCAGAGACGTTGTGAACTCAAAGCTAAAACATGTAGATAACAAATCTGGGACTATAATTCATTGAGCTATGGAAGATGGGAAAGAGAGTCTCAGCACTGAATGACATAATTTCCCCTTGCAGTGGTAATGTTTTCCACCTGCTTATCCAAGAGTTTATCTCTTAAGAATAGTGATTTCACATCTGTATAACTGGATCTGTTCAGAAATTAAGGGGTTTGAAAACTATCTTTTAAACAAATCCACCAAAAGATCCTTTTAATACTTTTCAGTGTCAATAAAACCTTGAATTACAATTACCTTGTTTCTAAATTGTGTGTTTTATCAACTGGTGATACCTATCAAAACTTGACAGGTGTATTTTTGCTACACTCTGAGCTATTCATTACAGTCTCCCTCCTTCTCTTCATTCACAAACAAGCTCCTTGTAAAATGTAATGCCAATGGACACTAATCTGTTCTGTTAATTTATATCAAGCAGTTCTTAAGCAAGTGGGCTCAGTTCTTCCTTTGTTCCTTCTGGATCCTAGAATGCCTTGGCCAACTTGCTTCCCATTTGTCTAGTCATGTAGGAGTTCCAAAAAACAGATGTAGATAAAATATATGTATATACTAGGCCTGTGCGGTTTCGTTCGTTATTTCGTTATTTTTACCATATCCAACGCGATTTCAAAACACATTTTTAAACCCGGAAGGGTTTTTAAATATCGAAACAGCAACTCCCACAATATTTACGAGCTTTCGCCCGTTTTGTAAATGGGGCGGGCGGGGCCTCCGCGCCTCCGCGCGCCATCCAACCGGCCTCCGCGCGCCATCCAATCGGCTCCGGCTCCTGCGCCCTCCTCCTCCTCCTCCTCCCAGCTGTGTTGCAGGAAGCGCTCCGCTCACCCTTACAACCGGCCTCCGCGCGCCATCCAATCGGCTCCGGCTCCTGCACCCTCCTCCTCCTCCTCCTCCTCCCAGCTGTGTTGCAGGAAGTGCCAGGAGGAGGAGGAGGAGGAGGAGGGCGCAGGAGCCGGAGCCGATTGGATGGCGCGCGGAGGCCGGTTGTAAGGGTGAGCGCGCGCGCGCCATCCAATCGGCTCCGGCTCCTGCGCCCTCCTCCTCCTCCTCCTCCTCCTGGCACTTCCTGCACACAGCTGGGAGGAGGAGGAGGAGGGCGCAGGAGCCGGAGCCGATTCGATGGCGCGCGCGCGCTCACCCTTACAACCGGCCTCCGCGCGCCATCCAATCGGCTCTGGCTCCTGCGCCCTCCTCCTCCTCCTCCTCCTCCCAGCTGTGTTGCAGAAGTGCCAGGAGGAGGAGGAGGAGGAGGAGGGCGCAGGAGCCGGAGCCGATTGGATGGCGCGCGGAGGCCGGTTGTAAGGGTGAGCGCTTCCTGCAACACAGCTGGGAGGAGGAGGAGGAGGAGGAGGGCGCAGGAGCCGGAGCCGGAGCGCAGGGAGACCAATACCATCTTGAAGGCTGCATCCAGGCTCTTGTGAGTTTTCTTTTCAGGGCTGTATGTTGACCATGTTCCAGAAGCATTCTCTCCTGACATTTTGCCCACATCTATGGCAGGCATCCTCAGAGGTCTGTTGGAAACTAGGCAAATGGAGTTTATCTATGGAATGTCCAGGGTGGGAGAAATGAAAGCCATTCAATGCTAATCAAGGTGACCAACTGCAACATTCACACTTACAAAATGTTTTGTAAATATTTACGAAATTTCGTAAATAACAAAACATTTTTTTTGGAAAGTTTTGTAAATATTTTAAATATCGAAACAAAAAAACACCCCAATTACAAATCGATTTTAGAAACAAATTTTTTCTTGATCAAACAGGCCTAGTATATACTCAAGTATAAGCCCACCCAAATATAAGCCAAGGAACCTAATTTTGCCACAAAAAAACTGGGAAAACTTATTGATTTGAGTATAAGCCGAGGGTTATATGCAGCAGCTACTGGTAAATTTCAAAATAAAATAGATACCAATAAAATTAAATTAATTGAGGCATCAGTAGGTCAAATATTTTTGAATATTTACAAAAACTAATTTAAGATAAGACTGTCCAACTCTGATTGAATCATTATTCTAACCTTCAATGTAAATGTGCTTACACACCCTTCCAATAATCACCATGGTTTATTTTAACTATACATTTTGGGGAAATGTGTGTATATGAATAGGAAAAAGTGGGAGAGACTGTCATGGGGTGGGGTTGGGAAAGAAGGACTGGAAATGTAAAAAGGTTGGAATGGGAAGGGGTGGTTGAAAAAGTGGGAAAATGGGTACCTGGAAAAGTAGGACCGATTGGGGTGGGAAGGGGACAAGAGGGGAAGTGGGAACAACAGAGGTGTGAAAGGGGGGCTGGAAACTGGGAAATGTTGGGATGGGAAGGGGGCTGGAAAAGGGGGAAAGACCCCAGTCAATAGTGGGAGGGATTGGGGAAACGGGTGCATGAGAGGGACAACTGGAAAAGACTGGGATGGGGAAAGGAAGATTGCAAAACCAGCAAGATAAGGGTGCAAAAGGGGTCTGGAAAGGTGGAAAGATTGGATGGGAAGGGGCAAGTGGAGAAGTGGGAAAGATTGAGGTGGGAAAGGGGGCTAGGAAAGTAGGAAACCGGTAGGGCAAGACTGAAATGGGAGAGGCTGAAGCCTGGGAAAGGCTGGGATGGAAAGGGAGCTGGAAAAGCGGGAGAGAGGGGCTGGGGATAGTAAAGACAGGGGTAGGAAGGGGGAAACTAGAAAAGGAAGACTGGTGTGGGAAATGGGTGCTGGAAAAGTGGGGGAAGACTGAATTGGGAAAGGAGGAAGTGGAAATGACTGAGGAAAGGAAGACATGCAGCCTGACCTTCCCTCTTGGCAAAGCGACCCAGCTAGGTTGCTGTGCCAAGAGGTGAGAGTCCTGGCGGGAAGGCATGGCCCTGAAAGAAGGGCTTCTTTCAGCCCCACGCCTTCCCGCCAGGACCCTCACTCAAATATAAGCCTAAAAAGGGCTGAAAAACTAGGCTTATACTTTAGTATTATGATACTCAGATTTATTGTGCGAGACTACAATAAGTTCACAAAGCAATAATGTAAGATCCAGTAGCACATATTTACTGGTTCACAGTTGAACTCTAGGTACTCAGAGGTCCATTGTGTGAATACGGATTAGGTGTTCAATTTACATCAGAAAGAGCTGCCTCAAATCTTCACTCAAAATCTAAATGCTTTCTGGATAAACTTGAATACTTTCTCTCACCTGAATCTTCCTGATAAGGTTGGTATGACACTCAAAAGGATGGGATTCGGATAAATGAGTGCATGTAAAATATGAGTACCTTTAAAAAAAGACCCAAACAATAGTTCACTAATAGTGTTATTTTCATCAATTGAGAAAAGTCATTTTGGAATTAGCATAGTATTTTATTTCATAAAATCAGACACAACATGATACAAAAAAGCATATTCAACATACTATCGACTAATAAGTGCTGAAATCCAGTTTGCTTTCTAGTTCTTGCTACCCCAGCCTCAACATCTATAGACAAGTTGTAAAAGTTGAAATATAGCTGGTATTTTCTTCATTTGGTTAAGCATATATATTTAAAATTAAGGCGCGAACTTGGCATCTGGTTTTATTATTTCAAAATGTATGCAATGGAAATGGTATTCTCCCTAGGTGAAAATATACCGTTGGGTTTCTGTGTTGAAAGAAACAAGGCCAATGGAACATGCAAAATCATGCTTGTTCAATAAACAAGAAAGCAGTTATATAGGTTTAAGTCCAAGAGGAATAATAATATAATAACTTTATTCTTATATCCTGCCACTATCTTCCTGAAGGGACTTGGGGCAGCTTACAGATGGCACAAAGTGCCTAAAAACACATAAAAGTGAACACAATATAAAATACAATAAAATAAAACACATGCACATATAAAAACATCGATTCAGACTCAATCAAGCTGCTCATAATAGAGAATTTGAGAAAATGCAGCGTATGGTCACATCCAGAGAGGGAGATAATTGAAGGTGTTTTGGATAAATTCTGGGTGATGGTCTTAGTGGGGATGTCTGCAGAAATTTCAAAGTCATGAAAAAATCATTTACTTGTACATAGGAATGGCAACAGATACCTTAAATGCAGAGGAGTAGATAGATTATTGAAATCAAATAAGGAAAACGTGGTCTGTCACAAAGGGAATGAGAATGATGTAGAAAAAATATTGAATGTACATGGGTTTTGAGTTTGGGGAAAGAAATCACACAGAGCCAAGTCAGGGCTGTATGGTGAGTAGGGAAGCCTCCATACAATGAGCCACATGCTCACAGTTCTTGAAGTTGAAGAATGCTGCCCCAGATAGCATTTTTGCCTTTGACAAGACACCAAAATGCTACACACTTTGCTAACGTACTGACGGATACAAAGGCGCAGATTCAACTGAGGATAGTCAAATTGTATGCCTGAGGTAGGTGGGTTCCCTTCCACCTGCCTCAGACCCCAGTTTCCTTTCCTGATCCTACTGGGCTACACACACACAAAACCATTCTCATTAGTTTTGGGACAGACAACATAAAGCTAGTAAGATGGATGCAACAATAAAATCAAGTAGCTGTTCTATAACTGTTATGATAGAGCAGTGTTTCTGTCATTAACAAAACCAACCCTTCAGATAATTTTCAGTCTGTATGAACATACCAAACAATGAATTTAAAAAAAACACAGCAGAGTGAGAGTTAGTTATCTATGTACACCATACCATCTTCCAATTGACTGGTGTCATTGCCATCTTTTTTGCTTTCTGGTGCAGGCATTTGTTCAGTGCCTGAGTTTATGAAACCTATGAGAATTTTGAAAACATTGGTTTAAGTGAACAGATAAACCCTCTGTTTATAAATATTTGTAGAGTTGGGATTTCCCCCCTTATAATGTTAATCAATGTATTTTGATTAAAAGCAGGATATATGCAGGGTTCTCCTACAGCTATTGTGTGTGTCACTATTTAGCTATTTCTTGGTCAGATCTTCTCAGTCATGCAACCTGAAAGGTTTAGCTTGTAGCAATATCATACTCTATTCAATATTTAAAAAAACAGAAACAATGGCCGGTATTCTAGATCACATACTTAGCTATGTAGCTGTCTCAATTACATAGGTAAATAGCATCCCCCAGTCTGCTCGCCCACCCCAACTTGCCAGGCAGCAGCCACTGTGAACCATAGGGATCTGTTCTATCAATCAAGATGCAGCAGACCAATGGTGGTCTCCAGTGCAACATTCATCTGCAGGATCCTGTCGCAAATCTCCTTGCACTGGAGATTGCTGG